AAAACCAATAAATGAGTCATCACTTCAAAGAAAGACAAATATGCCAAAAAATTTTAAAAATATTATGTAATAGGTAGTATTAGGTTTTGACAAAACACATAAATGCAAATATCGAAAATTTAAACTCATAATTTCAGGATTATAAATTCACTATCATACCATCAGTTATCGTTTATAGGACAAACTATATACATATGCTTTTGAACATATAATTTAACGTTGTGTATTAGAAGACATGCTACCAAAGTATACTTAAATAAATTTAAAAAATAAAAATAAAAATCAAATATAATGTTTAAAAATATATATAATGGATGTGAAATACATATATAAGTTATTATCTATCAGATTCTTAAATTAAACAAATGATCATTGTCATATACTTAGGGTTAAATTGCACAAAAAACTACATGTGATTTCATGAAATTGCGCCAAATCTCTTATATTTTTAAAACTGTGTCAAACTCCCTCGTGGTTTCATAAACTCTGTATCTAACCCCTCATTGATCCTTATTAAACGGTATTTGACCTAAATGCGCCCAAACTGCGAATAAATTTTAGAATCTCAATTTCTAAACCTCTAAAATTACAAATATATTCATTTTTTTTTATATTTAACCTAAAAAAATAGTAAATATACTAAAAATTAGTTATTTTCCTTAGATTTTAAGAGTTTATTTTTACTTTTTTTTTTAAGGCTAAATATAAGAAAAAACGAATATATTTATAATTTTAGGGATTTAGAAATTGATATTCTAACATTTATTTGCAGTTTGGGTGCATTTAGGTCAAATACCGTTAACTAAGGACCGTCGAAGGGGTTAGACTCAAAGTTTATAAAACCACGAGGGAGTTTGACGCAGTTTTAGAAGTACGGAGAATTTGGCGCAATTTCATGAAATCACAAGTGAATTTTGTACAATTTAGCCTATAATTAATAAAAATAATGAGAATTATATTACAGTCCCAAAATACAATCTCAACTATAAATATTGATAATATTTCATCGACTTGGATCTAATCAGCATTACATTAGTTTTTTTTTGCAACGTACAGATACTGCAAAATTATAATATGATATTGTAGGTTCTTTGACCTACATAATACGGTTATAAATCGGAATAATAATAATAATAATAATAATAATAATAATAATAATAATAAAAGCTGAAATTAATTTAATTAGGGTTTGCACCTGCAAGAAATAATTTGGCATTGACCCTTTAATATATAGTAAAAGCTTTGCATTGAATATCATTTATTAGGTAGTTGATTTATATATGGTGAGTTGCCAATATTTAATTCCTAGCATTTGACTTTGAATTTAATATATATATATGCTATTCTACGAATTTAACATCCCTAGCTATATGACACAACTTTGAATGTATTAACTATTAAAGACCATTGAGTTTTGTTCTTTTTTTTTTTTTTTTTTTTTTTTTTTTTTTTTTTAATAACGTGGGAACTGCAGCCGCTACCAAAAAATACTCTGTAAATCAGATCTGTCGAAAAAATCACACTAGGCGAAAGTTTTGTTCTTTTATCTTTGGGAAAGCCATTTTCTTTAAAAAATAAAAAATAAAAAAAAATTGTATGTTACCCATTTATCATAACTAGATTAACTATTTGATTAGTTTCCCAATTAAATTTTTTTGACAGAAATAATCTTAAGATGTTGGAGTTGCTTGCATAGCATCGTCATAGCATATTGAAGATTACATAGATGATAGATGGACATCTACTTGAGAATTATTTTAAGATTTCAATTAAACTTTGTATTGAATTAGTTCAAAAAAACAAAAAAGACTAATATGATGAAGAGTTTGGCTCTTCTTCGCTCCCGATAATTTTTATATATCTCAAGCTAAGTACCCATATGTCTTTATTGCTCGGACTGGTCTAACTAATTCTTAGATAGCCTACACATCATTTTCCAGTGATGTTTGATACACTTCACATGATGTTTCTCTTGACGATTCTACACTATATCACTATATCGTCATCTTGTTGGGAATTTTGATATATTTGACTATCATTCGGCCATATATCGTTCATCCAATTCTTATTGTAAGTCGATTCATGGCTGCTCCGAGGACCTCTTATCATTTCTTCATCTTTTATTTTCTTTATTATATAAAAAGTAATATGATGTGTGTTTACACTAAGTTGTTCCTCATTGACGTTTAGCACTTACTTTGATGTTGATTAGACTGGTGATCCTACCAATCGTTGTTCAGCTACTGATTTTTGTTTCTTCTTGTGTATTCTTTCATCTCTTGGTGAAGTAAGAAATAGACTCTGGTTTCTCGATTAAGTGTTGAAGTCAGAATATTGTGATCTTGTTGATTCTACATCAGAATTATTATGGCTACATCGATTATTCACTTATTTTAGTATGTCTCAATCGTCTTCTATCGCTCTTTATTATGATAGCCAAAGTGCTATGAAGATAATATATAATAATATATTTCACGACTGTATGAAACATATATACTGAATTTGACTATCAGTTCATTTACTAACATGATGTCCATAGGACTATCCACCTTATTCCGGTCTTTTTGACCGATAAGACAGCCGATATATTCACTAAATTTCTATTTTTTCAGCCATTTCCGATTGTTCTTAGACAAACTCAAGTGAGTTTCTACTCTCCCGCTTTGAGTTTGAGGGAATGTTAGATATATTATTATTTGTATCATTTATTTTGTATTTTGGTTTAGACCAAACTCATTTTGTATATATATATATATGTATATATTTGTGTACACACCTATTTTAGAGTAATACAATTCATAATATTCTCCCCAAAAATTTACACTCCTCAAAAGCATTAGCCTTTAAAGAAAAATTATTCATGATTGTTCTCAATATTTTGTTGATTGCCTTCATTTTCTCATCAACTAAATAAAATATATGAGCTTGATTTACAATATTTTTAAGTTGGTTGATGTAATCAAAGATAGCTTCACTTTTTGTCATCATCAATCTATCAAATTGGTTTTTAACCATTTGAACTATGAACTTTGGTGGTGTGATAGTTGTCTAAATCTTTAAAAGCTACCAGAAATGCATCCCAAATAGTTTTGACGGGTTGTACATGTTAAAATGACCCGAAAAAATATTCGTCCACACTTCATTATTGATGCAAATGATGAACACTTTTTATCTTTATTTTTCAATACAAATATATATTTTTTTAATAATAGGAGAATCAGCACTTCCTATCTTTCAGATGCGCTCTCGGTAAATTCTCGACTGAATCTAATAGCCTAGGCCCGATAAGACTAGAGACGTCAGAGTTTGAACCTATGATTTTACGATTACAAGTCCATTCCCGCATCAGCAGACAATCTCTTACAAGACAATACAAATAATTTGATCCATCAAGTAATGGGGTGGGATAATGGAATTTCCTTCCTTCTACATGTTTCAAAATGATCTCTTTAGAAGAGACTTTAAGGTTTTGGTTGTAATGCTTGAATTTGAATTTTATTTTGTATTACTCTATTATTTTTTCTCCACTAAAATAAGAGTTTATTTCTTTAGCAAAATTTTTTCAAATTTTACTAATATATATTTTTTCTCTAATAAAACATCACATCAAACATTAATTCATACAAAATTCAAACTAATTTTTTTCTAAAACTCATCAATCGAAACACATAAATTACTTTTTTTTGTTTTATTTATTGTAAAAAAATATATTTTTTTATTTAAACTATCACACTAAATATTATTTTAATTTAAAAGTAAATTATTTTTAACCTTAAAATTTCCAAACATTAAAATAAAAAATCTCTACAATTTAAATTTATTTGTTTTTTTCTTGGAAGACCATGTTGGGCAGTTATATGTATATATATACACACAATCGATTCTATTTAGCAAATTTCTTCTATGAATGCAATATCGAATCATAAGAGAGATAAGAATTTAATTTTTTATTTTTTTGGTGAGAATCCGTTGCCGTTATCTGAAATTGCACATTGAATAAACCTCTGCTCAACATTTAGTCTTTTTTTTGAGCTTTTAGAGGATGTTAAATGACATCTCTTACAAGACAATGATAGTTATGTGGGAACTCGCAGTCAATCACACTTGGAGATGTTCGAATTTGAACCCACAACGTTATGATCAACAATTAAGTTCCACATCATCAGGTCATTTGGTACGGGATAAAATTAAAAATATGTTGATATTAGTATACGATTACTCTATTAAAATAAAAAAATAATATTTTTTAGTAAAACCGACGAAAATGATAAAAATAATACTTTAAATTAGAATAAAAATATTATTAAATAATATTTATTGAAAATTATATTCCTTCCGTCCCAATACAATAGTATTGTTTACCATTTTTTTTCATCCCAAAACAATAGTCTTATTTCCATAAATAATCATATCTATAGAACTATCCTTACTTTTTCATTATTATTACACAATTTTTTTACTACTTTTTACGCTAATACACTCAAAAGCTAAAAAAAAAAATTTAGTTGTACTTTTTACCCAATGGACGGAGTATCAATTAAAAACACAATGTGAAAACACCCTACATGTATACATGCGTTTTATTTATTAATTTGTGAGTTGGGTCAAAATTACGTATCAAGTCTCTCAAATCCATGGGGACCCCTACCAAAATTAATTGACATGTTTATTAAAACTAGGGATAATTAATAATAAAATTTAAGTATAATAGGTAGTTATTACGAATCATAAAAATGCCAGATAGTAATAGTGTCCTTAATCACTATGCAATCCCTAATTACCCTCTAATAAACGTGTCGGAAATAACACAATAATAAAAATGTGCAAATTCAGATCCGTTCATATACACTCCTGGGATCACGACACCAGAAGAATCCACACCGCCAATCAATCAGTATCAGTGAGTGTATCACCAACAGAGGCGTAGAGGCTCCGGGAGCTCTCAAAAAATAAGTCTAAACTCTTCCCTGGAGCAAGAAAGAAAGCTGAGGTTCTGTCAGTGAGCGAGGCGTGCTTTCTCTCCTCCAAAATTGCTTCACTTTAAAGATCGATGTAATTAATCCCAAATCTCAATCATCATAAACTCACAAATCACGATCAATCACACGTTCAAATCTCGCCATTAAACCTGCAGGAACAAAAGTATAAAGAGATATATATATGTATATATACATATGTACAGATGCACACAGAAACAGAAGCTTTGATGGGTTCTCTTTAGCACTTTACTCTGCCGTTGCACAGAAAAGGGAAAAGCCCGATTGGGGGACGAAAATATCTGCATTTCCATTCCAGTGAGTATTTGGTTGCCGATTCGGCGTTGGGCGCACCTCACCTGTTGATGTTGTTGTTTTTTTGTTTTTAGGTGTGCGTTTGTTTTCCCCCAATTAGTAATTCTAGGGTTTCGCTGGTAAGTTACTGATCTACATTGCAATTGGGTCTGGGCTTCGATTTCGGTGGTCGATTTACGCAGCACAGCACATGATGATGGGTGGGTGCTGCTGGCGATTAATCTCTTTCCTGCTTCATTTTTTATAATGCGATTCCTTCCCACTGTTCTAAGATTTCGTTGGTCGCAGATATCTGATTCTTCTGCGCAATATATAATAGACATATATAATATATGCAATGCAAAATGTGATGCGATCTTGTCTATGAGTATCATCATATATAGTTTATATATTAATAATATTTAGATTTGCTACAGTCATCGGCATGGCAAAGGTATACGGAGAGATGCTCGCTGTCTGGCGTTTTGGTGGTTGATTCAACTGATACCGAGATGCTGTTTTCCATTTCCCCCTTCCGTTGAGTTGCATAACATTGCAGGTTTGATTCTGAAACTCACCGCACCCCACCCCACCCCGACCCAGCTTCTTCTCTCAGTCACTTTGAGATCCATTTCAACTCATGTATATATTTCGGCTCTTTTTCTGAATCTTTGAATCCTTCGCTTCTTTTTTTTTTAATGCTACACACAGATATGTTATCAGAGTATATTTTAAATGGTTGAACAGAGCAATGGTGGGGGGGGGGGGGGGGAGCGGGGGAATAAACAATAATTATACTGTATTTAATTTAGTGTGGTAGCTAAGCTTGTTGGCGATGTCTCCTGGGTTTGTCCGGACTCCGTGGGCTTTGCCGCCGACCAAGGAAACACCCACTTATTTGGCTCTCTTCCCCTACAAGTGAGCTGAATCGATCCCCCATTAATTTAAAACCCCATCGTCTATTATCTATTATTCTCTACTCTCTCTCTCTCTCTCTCTCTCTCTCTCTCTGGAGAAGATTACTTTGTGCCGAATCGAGATTCGGTCATACAGAGCTGGCCTCTGATTAGTCTTAGAACAAGAAGAGATCCCATTGCTTTCTTTCTTGTTTAGCTTGTGGTTGTTTGAGAAAATTTGGTCCCCCACTGCTCTACCGTTTCTTGCTTATTTTTATTTTTTACTTTTCATTTTTAGGCCTTGCTTATCCCTCGATCTTGTTCCTGTCGGGTGTTCGAGAATGGAAGAATGAATGGGTGTATAACGGTCTGCTGTGCTATGCTCGTGGTTTCTTGGGTTGAGTTTGAGTAGTGTGGAAGCAGAAGCATTGTGTTGAAGCTAGGTTAAAAGCTAACATTCGACTTGAAGTAGGTGGAGAGGGGTAGGTTGTCTTCAATTTGTTTGCAGGATGAAGTTTATGAAGCTTGGATCCAAACCAGATTCCTTTCAGGCCGATGGGAACACCAACATAAGGTTTGTTGCATTCATTCTACCATTTTTTTTTCAAGATTAGTTCCCAATCCAACTTCATTGATTTCTTGGCCAATCTTGGATCGATTTCTTCAGGAAAGTTTCTCGAATAGCTACTGTGAAATTAAAGTCGTTCATTATTTGCAAAGCAATCCTTTTCACACACGTATAGATTCTGTATCTTAGTTATATAAGTTAACTCTACTTTGATACCTTTTTGCCCTTTACATTTGGTGTCTTTTTTTGGTTCATTATTTACAGCTTTTAGTTGGTTGAATGGTTTTTTGTCAACTGTGAGCCCCGTTTCATAGTTACAATCATTCGGGCATTACAGTTTAGGCTCCCAGATAATGAATCGATGGATCAATCGAAGGAACAGCGAATCCGTATAATAGAATACGCATCATAAACCAGTTATTCGATAAATTTTGGTGAGAAAGTGAGGATAATATGGATATGCTGTCTGCAGGTATGTGGCTAGCGAGCTGGCAACTGATGTTGTCGTCCATATAGGTGATGTGAAGTTTTATCTTCACAAGGTATGCTTCGACGCTCTCTCTACATTTGAATCATGTCAGAGATCGACAATGTAATAAAAAGTCGAACAACTGTGTGTTTTACACAAATTTGATTTTCTAAATGAACACTGCAGTTCCCTCTTCTGTCTAAATGTGGGAGGTTACAGAAGCTGGTTTCTTCGGCCAATGAAGGCAATGTCAATGGAAATGGCGACGAGATCAGCATCCCCAACATACCTGGTGGCTGCAGCGCCTTTGAAACATGTGCCAAGTTTTGCTATGGAATGACGGTCACACTAAATGCGTACAACATTGTCGCAACACGGTGCGCAGCCGAGTATCTTGAAATGCACGAATCCATCGAGAAAGGCAACCTCATCTACAAGGTTGATGTCTTTCTCAACTCCAGCATTTTCCGAAGCTGGAAAGACTCCATTGTCGTTCTCCAAACTACGAAAGCCCTACTGCCGTTATCCGAGGAGCTAAAACTAATCAGCCACTGCATAGATGCTGTTGCTTCCAGGGCTTCCGTCGATGTTTCCAAGGTGGACTGGTCTTACACGTACAATCGAAGAAAAGTTTCCGAGGAAAATGGGAATGATCCCAGCTGGAACACTGGTGTTCGTAGCCGAGCAGTGCCAATGGACTGGTGGGTTGAGGACTTATGCGAGCTGGAAATCGATCTGTACAAGCGTGTGATCGTAACAATCAAGAATAAAGGCAGTGTATCGAGTGAAGTGATTGGGGAAGCTTTAAAAGCTTACGCCTATCGGAAATTACCCGGCTCGGGGAAGAACATAATCCCCCAGAATGAAATGTCAAAATTCCGATTCATTTTGGAGACGATCGTGAGGCTTTTACCGGAAGAGAAAGGCAGCGTTTCGTGCAGTTTCTTGTTCAAGTTATTGAAGGCTGCCATTTCAGCCGATATGGGGGAGACGGTGACGAACCAGCTGGTGAAGAGAATCGGGCAGCAATTGGAGGAGGCGACTCTGAACGATCTTCTGATTCGGGCGCGCGAAACTGACGGTGATGGAATGATCTACGAAGTCGGAGTAGTCCAGAAGATACTCGAAGAATTCACGAGGCAAGATCGGGACGACGCCGAATCTGCTGCCGTGGCATTCGAAAACGGAAATGCAGAAATTCAGGAGATACGTAAGCCTGCCGGGATCTTGTCCGAAGCTTCGAAGCTTATGGTGGCGAAACTCATCGATGGCTACCTCGCCGAGATCGCAAAGGACCCGAAGTTGCCGCTCTTGTCCTTCATCGGTATCTCCGAAATGGTCTCCGGCGTTTCTCGCCCAGCGCATGACGGACTTTACCGCGCCATCGACACGTACCTAAAGGTAAAAATTAATTCATCGCATTCGCCCGAATAAATCCGAAAATCATACGATATGCCATTCAGCGTTATATTATATCATTATAGGAGCATCCGGCGATCGGTAAGAGCGAGAGGAAGCGAATATGTAGGTTGATGGACTGCAAGAAGTTGTCGGCGGAAGCGTGCATGCACGCTGTTCAAAACGAGAGGCTCCCGCTACGAGTAGTCGTCCAAGTCCTCTTCTTCGAGCAAGTCCGTGCAGCTGCTTCTTCGGGAAGCAGCACGCCGGACTTGCCCAAAGCCATTAAAGACCTCAACAATGGCTCCTACGGTAGCTCGCGATCGGCGACAGCCAACACCGACGAGGATTGGGATGCGGTGGCCTCGGCTGAGGAGCTGCGGGCGCTGAGGGGTGAACTGGCGGCGCTGCGATTGGGATTGGGCGGCGGCGGCGGAGGAGGAGGTGTTGTGGTTGGGCAGGAGAGGATTAATGGAGGGGAGAGCAGGGCGGCCTTGAGCAAGATGAAAGGGCTGATAATGTCGAAGAGGATATTGTCGAAGATATGGTCGAACAAAGGGGAGAACAGCGGGTCGGACTCGTCGGAGAGCCTGAACCAGGATGAAGTGGGGAAGACGATCGGGACGCCGACGCGGCGAGGTAGGCATTCTGTTTCTTAGGTGGTTAAGTATGTGTGCGTTTGGGATGGATGGATGGATGGATGGTTTCGGATGATGTTTTTGTCTTGTCTTGTGTTCTTGGTTAGTAGTAGACAGTTAAGTTACTTAGTAATTTGATTTGTTTTGGTTAACAAACGAGGAGAATCAATGGATATAACTTTATATATATAATATATATATATATATGTTATAGTGAGTATGTGTTGAAGTAAGTCTAGAAGAAGAAGAAGAACATGAAGAAGATGATGATGATTTATGGGCATGGGGGAATATTTGCAGAGTAATGTTGTTATGTTAGAAGAGAAGCCAAAGCCTGCAAGCTAAGACTAAGGCATATATAACAAACAAACAGTTACTACTATTATCGTATCATGTAAAAATCTTTCCTTGTACTATTATTATTATTATTATTATTATTATTACAGGCATTGTCCCTTAGTATTTATTTATTTATTTATTTTGAACTGCAGTCGCCACTCGAAGGTGTGTTCTGGGTAATTTTTAGTCAAATGTAATAGCTTGCAAATTAGACTCGATAAGACAAGTGAAACCAAGTCAACCGATGATATTATTAGTAGTAGTATGACGTCTGGTGAATGTTGGAGGAATAATGGATGAATGATGGATTAATGCAATTAATCTCACTTCACAAAATAAGGGCTGTGTTTGGTTTGGTTTTCTTTACTATAGTACTACTAGTGGACTATAGCTGTAGATCATTACTAGTATATATTTATATGTGTATATATATATATATATCTCATCTGACAAAATTATTCATGATTTTTTTGTAATTTCGAAGCTCAACGTAAACTCTTTTGTATTTTAAAATTTGTATTATGCCTTTTTATATTTTAAAAAATGTTACATAAAATTTATTTTTTATATTTTTTTGTGTGATGAAAAAATAATTTTCTATTTATAAAATACAAAAAGAATTTAAATTAAATTTCAAAATCTTATAGACAATTTTATATATTTCAGCATATCTTATATTATAAAATAAAGATAAACTGAATTATAAAATAGTATATACTATTATAAAAATGCTATAAAAAATAGATATATATATATAAGTATATGTTGATTCGAGCCAATTAGATCAAATCAGCATCACCATCCGTACCAAGTCTACTACTATTATATAAAAAGAAAATAGAATAAGATTAGATGACATGGTTAGAGAATATATAATATTATACTTAACACATTTTTTTTTATTAAGATATATTTTAAATTAAATATATATTTTTTCTTTTCCAACTAAAGATATTTGTTTTTATTATTTTCATATGTTTTATGTAAATTTCATTTATATACGTATAACAAATAAAAAAATTAAAATCATTTATACATTTTTATTAGTCAATAATATATTACTATTATTTTTAATTTACTAAAAAAAAAATAGTTTTAATTGGAACTAAACACTATATTATATTATACTTTAAATTAAATATAAATAATATTTTATTATTAACAGTAAAAGTGAAAATATTGAAACGTATATTTAAATCGTTTATTGAGTCTGATGTGAATGTGATGCTGTCAGAATATCACATGCATGCATGCATACACCTGACGTGCATTCCATTAACAAATAAATACCCTAACTTTTCAGCTTAACCAGTCACTATAATCAATCAAATTAATTAATCTCATTTGTTGGTTTCAATAATACTCTTTCAATCCCATATTCATATTTATTCGCACAAGTAATGAAATACTTGTATTATTATTATTATTATCTAAAGTTATTTTGTAATGCCCACTTATTTACTTTACTTGTATATATAAAAATAATTTTATCTATGTCCTATAAGAATAGTATGATAATGCTTTTGAATCCGTAACAAGTTCAATGTCTGTACTATCGAGTCATTCATTACGAACTTCTTATTTTAAAATTTTAGGTGACATTATTTTTATAAATATTATTAAAAAAATACATGTTAATATTATATATATATTATTCATTTTAAAAATGAATAATTAAATATAAAGTATAAATTTTTATATTATTAACACAATTAATTAAATGTAAATAAATAAATTCAAACAAACAGAGATTTAATACTATATTAAATGATGTAAATGATTGTATGAGTTAAAAAGTTCCCTAGCCTATTAGTCCACTCCACCCGCGCTATGGTGATTTGTTTAGTTTTAAGGGCATGTTTGTTACGGCTTTATTTTCCCAAAATTCCATATTTATGAAGATTAATGTTTAGGGTTGAATTGATGATATGATTTGTTAGGAAATTCTCCATCTCCAATGGCGCAAAGAAAGATCTTCAGCTCACATGGTTTTGATTTATCTACTCGCCGTCGTCGTCGTTGTACACGCGCCGCCACCTCTAAATAAGTCAACCAATTGAAAGCACAGGACAGGATACTTCCCAATCGGAGCAAACTCTGTATATTAGGTTTGGGAATGGGAGAGGAAGATGGAGCCGGAGCCAGATCGCCGCCGGTCAATAGCTCCGGCCATCAACCGAAGCCGACTGCCAAGCTCACAATCTTACCTCTCATCGCCTTAATTTTCTACGAGGTCTCCGGCGGCCCCTTCGGCGTCGAGGATTCCGTCAAAGCAGGCGGCGGCCCCCTCCTCCCTCTCCTAGGGTTCCTAATTTTCCCTCTCTTCTGGAGCATTCCAGAAGCTCTAATCACCGCCGAGCTCGCCACCGCCTTCCCCGACAACGGCGGCTATGTCCTCTGGATCTCCTCCGCCTTCGGCCCCTTCTGGGGATTCCAGGAAGGTCTCTGGAAATGGTTCAGCGGCGTCATGGACAACGCTCTTTACCCTGTACTATTCCTCGATTACCTAAAGCATTCCCTCCCCGTCTTCTCCAACACCATAGCTCGAATTCCAGCTCTGTTAGGGATTACTGCTTCTCTCACATACTTAAATTACAGAGGCCTCAACATCGTCGGATTCTCCGCCGTCTTGCTCGCCTGCTTTTCTCTGCTACCATTTCTCGCCATGGCTGCTCTCTCTGTACCTCGAATTCAGCCGAAGCGCTGGCTCGTTGTGGATCGCCGCAAGGTGGACTGGAGGGGATACTTCAACAATCTGTTCTGGAATCTTAATTATTGGGACAATGCGAGTACTGTCGCCGGAGAGATTGAGGATCCGAGCAGGGCGTTTCCGAGGGCGTTGCTTGGGGCGGTTGTTCTGGTGGTTTGTTCCTATTTGGTACCGTTGCTTGTCGGCACCGGAGCTGTGGACACGGATTCCGGCGAGTGGAGCGACGGCTATTTTGCGAGGATAGGAATGATGATCGGCGGCGCGTGGCTGAAGTGGTGGATCCAGGCGGCGGCGGCGTTGTCGAATATGGGGCTTTTTGAAGCTGAGATGAGCAGCGATTCGTTTCAGCTTTTGGGTATGAGCGAGATCGGGATGCTCCCCGCGGTTTTCGCATCGAGGTTTGATAACGTAAATCCACCTTACACATGAAACACAAATTAGTTTAACTATGTATAATGGCTTAAATTATTATCCAAGTGCAAGATTGATATGTGGTTTAGATCATATTACGTATAAGCTTTTAGATGAAATGATCATTTAACACATAGTATCGGACATGGATTTCATAGAGATTTGACCGAATCTAACATATATCATACAATTAAACTATATATTACATGGATTTCATACTGATTTGACCGAATCAGCACGCACAAAAACATAAACAACACAAGTCTTTATTAGAAATAACACGTGTTGTTTGTAATAATGACATCTGTTGTTTGTATATAATTATAGCGTGTGCTGTACAATGGTATGTCATGTGCTAAAATCAATTGTTACATGTGTCGTGTGAGACTATATCATGTGTTGTATATGTATTATATTAATATAAATAATGTGATGTCACTAATATTACTTTGCTGCATATTGTGTGTTATTTAGCACTGTAGCTGCCGCCATATTATATTTACCGCAACATATTTATAATACCAACATATACTATGTTATAACATGTACTAATAGTAGAAATGCATGTTGTTTACCTTTAAAGCATATGTTGATCTGGTCAAATCAATATGAGATTTGCGCCCGAAAGTATGCTAATTTGGATGATCCGATCGTTGCAGATCGAAGTATGGGACGCCGACATTCAGCATTCTATGCTCGGCGACGGGCGTGGTCTTCCTATCGTGGATGAGTTTCCAGGAGATCCAGGAGTTTCTCAACTTTCTCTACGCGGTGGGGATGCTGTTGGAGCTTGCGGCATTCGTGAAGCTGAGAGTGGACAAGCCGGAGCTGCAGAGGCCGTACAGAGTCCCGTTGGGAACGGTTGGTGCAGCGACGATGTGCTTGCCCCCGGCAGTGCTGCTGGTTCTGGTGATGTGGCTGGCGTCTCCGAAGACGTATTTGGTGAGCGGGGTGGTGGTGGTGGCGGGGGTTGCTGCGTATCCGTTTCTCGTCTGGGCGAAGGAGAGGAGATGGGTCGAGTTTGTTAACTCGGATGCTGTTGTTATTGCGGATGAGGAGCGTGTGATGATGCTCGAGGAACATCGAGCGGTTGTAGCTTCTCACGGCATTAGTTCCGCCATGTCGGAGATTTCAGCCTCAGCTTCAAAATTGGAGTAGAGAGCGCACTCGAAAGTAGTCGTCCAAGTTAAAGAGAGGCAAGTAAAGCTGTGATGATATGATAATTGTTTGTCCATATTTGTAACATTTTGTTGTAATGACAAGCATATATACGGACTTTTATTAAGATTATTATTAAGTGATTAAATGATCTTTTAATTAAATGAAAAAAAAGAAAGATTAAATACTCCCTTTTGTTAACCAATGTGCATTAGTGCTCGTAACATGTGAAGTAGAAAATATTTATTTTGTGATCTGTATCACTAAAAGATAATTTAGGTATATGTTCATGGATCTGTAATAAAATGTGTAATGGTATTGTAAGAGTGTTTGTTTCCCAGTTAGAGATTTTTAGTTTGAGATTTGAATCTTAAACATTTTAAATTTATACAATGTAATATAAATAGAAAATAATACTAATTTTGTCCTCGATTGTATTTTCGTTTTTTTACTACAATTCAATATAATACACAGAGATGTCTCAATTGCTGCATAAACAAATGTTAGGCCCCAGAGTGGGCACGGCTTGGATATTTGTAAATATGCAATATTTGATATTCGAACCGAATCGAACAAATACCCGAAATCGCGAACCTTATTCGAACCAAAAATTTCTCTTAACCGAATTCTCGATTAATCGAAAATATTTGCAATATTTGTAAATAATTCGAACAAAATCAAAATTTAAAAAATAATTAAAATTCTAATTAAATAAAAATATTTACAAATATTTCAAATATCCGAAACCGAAACCAAATCGAATATAATTATTAATATAAATTTTAAAATATAATAATATAAATATATTCAGTTCAATTAACCAAACTCAAAAAAACAAATCAAAAAATAAAATCGAATCGAACAAATATCAAATATGCAGTATTTGTATACGTACCGAATTTTAACATATTTAAAAAATTACAATTCTAACTCTCTTCAAAAGTAAGACGGGATTCCATCAAAAAATCCACAGAAAAATAAATATGCAGCCCGAAATTATCCTATACCCATCATCTCAGAGGGTCAAAATTTTTGCAGATCTAAATTAAAAAATTTCAGACAAGCTTCGAAGAACCGAATTGTACCAATAAGATGCTTCACTACAGATGGATTCCGTCCAGTACCGAGATCATCCCCAGAGCCTGCTTATAAATCCCTTAACTTCCTTCTTCATCCTGTGGTCAAGGGATGGGAAGTCGATTGAGTTGTAAGCGAGGTCGAGCACAATTGGATTGCTGGGAACTGTTTGGAAGGCCGGTGGGAAGGCTTCAATGCGAGGGATTAGCTTCCCGGTTGGATTGCCCACAGATGACTCGTAAGTGTCGAGTTTCTCCATCAGCAGTTTCTCAAGCTGAAGAAAAAGAGTAGATAAAAACATGTAAAAATGCCCGGTGGAATTAAAAGGTTAACATGAATAGGTAAACAGGAAGTTTCAGCTGTCGTGTATGTAGAAACAGCAACCGAACAAATATGGGAGGTTGAAGATTTCAAAGGTGTATTTATTTGAGATGATATGAGCTAAAACAAGAAATCTGGACTACCTTCTTATCAATTCCTGTCAGTGATATGTTTGAAATCTTCTTCGACAGATTTTCTGGAGCTTTCTCCTCCTCCATAATTCCAATTGCGTGCTCTATGCAACTATTTGATCGACAATCATTAGAAAGCATTTTCAATTCATTGACGGTGACCTGTCAGGGCAATAGATTAGACGATGACTTAGATTGGCATTAACACAATGGGGCACACAAAGAAGTTGCCAAATTCAACATCCATTCATGGAATAACTACGAAAAGTGGTTAAAAGGATATTTAAATATCAAACAGAACAGCCATTGGAATAGCTAAACAGTGTACCATCATATTGTAGTATGTTTTATAAAGATCGATGAAGCAAGAATGTACTTTATTAGCAGAGAACCCATCTCAATGTCTATAGTAAAACAATAGCATAAGAGTTACAACACTCCCCGAAACTCTTAATCATTTATATTTAAAATAGTATAGGTATGTTGTCAAGCCACAAAAACCTCAAATAAATATGGTAACCTTTTTCGAATAATCTTGCAATCCTAATAAAAATCCTAACATAGTAAATCTTTTAAACCATCCTAAGCTGCCAGGTGCCTTAGTGAACACATAACAAAAGGAAAAAGAATAAATCAAGTATAAGTACCACCACCAAAGTTATAATAAAAATAAATGAATAATAAAAAAAACCTACAACCACGTAGAAAGAAGTGAAAATTGCCTGTCACTGCAAACCTGATCAGCATTGCTTAATCTATGAAGCTTCTCAAGAGAAGCATCTGCCAGAGAACAAGCATGGCGGAACAAAGCATAGGCTTCAGCTCTCTTTCCAGCCAAACTGTAGGATTTGGCCAAATAAAAGCACCTGCACCAATTGTTGAAGAGGTCCAGCATCAGAACAAATGCACTTCAGATTTTCAGAAACCTATTTGCTACCCATGTATTCTACAGCCATATCCATAGCTAACACTTGGGATATTTTGGATCCATGGTAGGTATACTGAAAGAAATATAAGATCGTATATGGAGATGGAAAAATAAATGGAAAGTTTAAAGCTTTATTAGATATGCAGTAATGCAGGTTGACACTTTTATTTAGTTTTCATCATTGAAAATAATACAATGATGTATTAGTTAATACAATACTAAAAATTAAAGTCAAGATTAGAAACATTTAATTTCTGAAATCATGGAATAATGGAAGGAATATCAAATCCCTTGTTTTAAGAAGGATTTGATGTACTGTTATAACTGGGCTTGTGAAGTCCATGTCATTTCCATCCCATTTAAAATTCACTACCAAAAGTGCTTTTGAAGAATTCCTCTAGCTTTCGTCTTTAAAATTGTATACCAAATACGCCATTAATGAATAGTGAACAGATATGAACCAACTCTGACGTTTTATAGAAGAGAAGATACTGGGTTATCATATAGCATGTTGCACAACCATTGGAATTTAATAAAAGCATTAGGTGAAAATCAAGCCAACATTTTTTTTTCCAGAAAGGAAAATTTTGTGTGTGTAGCTATCTATCTATATATATATATATATATGTGTGTGTGTGTATGATAATAGTACGAGCAAATGAGAGGGACAAGGAAAATCAGGGAGGTAGAAAGCCGATATGACTATGTTTACTGAAACAGGCATATGGAGTGTCCTTGTCCATAGCATTGCCCACAATTTGGTCATACCGATATTATTATCATTGAATAGTCGTAGGGTGACCAATAATATAATAATCAATTGGCTTAAGACCTTTACAACAAAAACGAATGATAATGATCATAAAGAAAGGCCAACATCAAATTTGGCTTGTATCAGCAGACAAATAGATTTCATTGATCACAAACATATCAAGAAATGGTGTTTTCAGCAAATGAACAGCCAAGGAGAAAACAGAACAAAGATCTGACAAATGAATGAACTTGCAAACCTTTCTGCACGGAAAGCAGAACTTTTAAATTCGCATTCCTCAGCAAATGCCACTTCTTCAGGATTTTGATCTCTTCCCGAACTTACCAAATCAGAAAGATCACTTGTGTTCTACATAAAAAGAGTATATGTCAGCATTATCTATCTCGGTCGGTGGACTAACTAATATAGCTAAAAAAAGCCATAAAGTCATATAAATATGACAATCAATATGACTGTAAAATGGTGGAAACAAAACAGTAACTAACCTGTAGCAAGAGATCATATAACCTGACAAGCTCCTCCGGCTTTGTAAGTTTTTCGTTTTTGTCATCACGAATCTTACTGAGCTTACTTTTAGCAATGGTGACTAACAACTGATTACGTTCAATGGTTCTCTTCCCTAAGACTGCACCGATAGCTCTGTCAAGACTGCTAAGATCATCTTTCATGCTTTCTGAATTGCCTGCCGTAGCCTGCAACAAAATGCACCAGATCATGTTGCAGCATATGGATATATTGAAAGTGGAAATCATCCACAACCTCATCAGTACATTATTGCCATATAAGATAATATATAGTTCCTTCTTCCATTGATATCTCTTACTCAATTCATAGTTATAACCATAAAACAGTTGGATAGAAGTTCTCTTCATAATTAAAATGAAAACATACCAGTTCACTTCGTATGTAGCTTCTTGCCTCATTGTAAGCAGCAAAAATTTTGTCAAATATAAGCAGCTTTTTCTCTGCAGGGAATGAATCCGCTGCTGGACCACTAATATCTTTCTCCAATTCCTGGGCTGATCAAATTTTAACATGCACATATTGAGCTTGAGATTGGGTAGGTATACAAAAGTTTCAGTGCTAGGAAATCAAAGTTTAATTGGCCCATTGTACTTCAAACATGATAATCAGATTTTATAAGGACTACCTTTAAGTATGGACACCCGAGTCTTTGCATTTGAGATAGGAAATCTATGACCCAGCCAATGGAATTCAGTCATGGATGCAGCCTGCTGCGATCGAGCCTCTGACATGACAGCCTGCAAGGAAGAATGTAAGAAAAATGAGACCCATAACCTAGCTTTTTGCGAACACCAGCATATCTTACTTGAAAAATGAAGCATATTGTTAACACTTAAGATGGACCCACCTCCAATTTAGCTTTGAAAAGATCAAGAGCAGGCCCCTCCATTTCTCCTATGTGGACTAGCTCTGAAGCTTGTAGATTTGACTCCCCTATCTTATGCAGGCAATACCGTATACTAGGCTCAAGTTCCTCAACTCGCTCCCGGCACAGAACTTGGTTTTCTAGGTCACCATACTTCCCAAGCTCCTCATAAACAGCCCTAGCAAGATAAGAAAGTTAGACAGCTTGATATAGCTAAGAATAATGCAGACAACAAATGGCCAAACATCTTCCAGTAAGCTTAATTTGTCTTGATAATGAAGAGTGTACTTTGTCAAAATTAGAATATACCTAGCACTTTTGAAGCATTTCAATGCAACATCCCAGTGCTTATCTTGTTCAAACAACAAATAGCCCTTCATATAAGAGGCATATGCCTGCAAAGTAAACATAACATGATTATGCAACCAAGATTGCATTGAAGTGGCACTTGTTGCTTAAGAATTAAGAAGAAACACTATAACATCATGCCATAAAAAGTTTACTGCGATTGCGGCCACATTGCAGAACTAAGAGATAAGTCATCGCATTAAAAATGTGTATGGTAACAGACAAATGATTGGGGTTACTAAAATTTAGTTACAAAAATCAAAATAAGGTATCAGAAGAAACTGCAGTGGCAGAAGATAACAAGCAACTAATACGGTAATACCTCTGCTTCCAGAGATGTTCTTGAATCACCCTTTAGAGAGCACAGCTCTTGGAAAAGGGAAGCCCACTTTACAGCTTTTCTCAACCTGCAAATGAGGTAGTTCCGCTGCTGTGCATTGGGACCATCAGGCAGTGTTTTCTTTTCCATAGCATGGCTCCAAGCTCTTTCAGCAGTATATAGAACCAAATGGAGAAACCTAAAGAAGATTCAGATGCGTTAACCCAGAAGGCAAAAATCAACATCCTGAACTAATTTTATAGACAAAACAAATTCAGATTGCAGAAATGATAGTAACTATCCTTCAAGTGAGCTAAATGTACCATGCATGCAAAAATCAATGGGGTAATAGCAACTGGGCTTAATCAGGATTTAGCAGGTGCAGCAGAGTAGGAGTCATGATGAGGATTTAAAGAAGCTACTAATTGGGATAAACAAATAACAATGGACCTATTTGTTTTTTTCTTTGTGGATGAACACCGAATAATTTGATTTGTATATACTGAATGAAGAAAGGCCTTCATTGAAATGGTAGGTTATATCTAAATATAGCCGAAGAGACCAATATATTTCTTTGTCACAGCATTATTTGCACTCCTTACTGACGCCCAAGAAGCATAATTGGTCATATTTCAACTTTGTATGTAAGTGAAGTTTAACAGTACAAAATGGGAATATATACATTCTAGAATTTTGCATCATTGAGTGTTCAATAACAAAACATCACAAATTATAAAATCACTTCCGCTGCTTTACTAATCAAACTACCGTAAAAAAGTATCCACCACAGATCAGCATTTCTTTATCTGAAGTCATTCAATGAGATAAAGTAACTACCACTAACTCGTCTAAACATTTGTTGGCTAGTCGTGTGAATACACTTTCGAAATGAATATCCAAACAAAGTCTCTCCAGTGGACTATCAGCCGAGTTGTCTGATAAAGAAAGCAATTAATCATATATATCCTCTCCATAGAGTGGTGTATCTATCCCCAAACTGTTGACACCAACGAGAACTTAGAAATGCTTGCAATCTGTCACCAAAAGAAGTTTCCACCTCTCATCATAATAAAGCAACTTATAATTGTTTAATATGATAATGAGCATAACTTGATACCCCTTGTAATTCCGAACAAGTTAAAAGAACAGAATAATACTGTCAGAATCTTGGAGCAGCAAAATAAGCAAAGTCACAGTAAGGTTAGCCACCATAGATATGACATAAACAAGAACACCATCATCATGGCAGCAGCTACCTGACTTCAGTGATAGTGGATACAGTGATGGTTTTTTTAGTATACTTTCCACGACCGTGAGTGAACTTCAGTGATTTGTACAGTCTTCTCAGCCGTGCAGTGCAATACCTCCTGACAAATGAATTGAGAAAATCCCAAAATTGGACAACATTATCATCAATATCAAGATGCATAAGAAATTACCTACTTTTCATCATCTTTCCATCTCAAATTCTCAATCAACTTCCCCGGTTAAAACCATAAACAAATATACAAAAGAAAACTGCATACACATAATCCTTAGATTGAAAATTACTTTCAAGACAATCCGTGGGAGATTCAAATAAGAAAATGTAACACATAGCATAAGAAATCGATCGTACCGGTAACGGGTGTAATCGCCGAAACGCAGCCCGTGCTGCATTTGGGCTGATTTCAGAAGCTGCAAAACTGAAAACTCCGCCGTAAAGATTTTAGCAAAACCCCTCGATTCGTTAACCACATACAAAAGTTCGCGAACAAAAACCTACCGTTGATAGAGAATTTAGGATTGCTGATCTGATCGGAGATCGTCGAATTCTGCTCGTCGATTTCCATGGCAACACCATCGTTTGCTTTCGCCATCACAGAAGCGAGATTAAAATTAGAGATCCAAAACAACAACGGCCTCCAAACCCTACCGGGCCTACACCTGCCTCTAGTTGAAGTCAGGCGTTTTTCCTTTTTTTTTTTATTTTTTGGAAACGACTAGAAATTGACTGCCGGAGAAGAAGAATGAAATGAGCGACCACCGGCGGTAGCGGCAGCTCTGGCCGCAGTATGTACGGTCTATTTTTTAAATATTTTATAATTAAATTAATATATGTATTTTTATAATATTGCAATAATAGTAATAATATTATTATTAATTATAATTAAATAATTACTCCATAATTACATAAAATAATAATAATAATAATCTCTTTTCCGCTTAACATATTTTTTTATTTTAATATGGCATAACAATTACATATTTTTATTTGTAAGAAATTATATTTACTTGTTATAAATTTTCTATAATATTAAAGATTAAAAAAATCAAAATTTATTTAATATATTTTAAGAATTTCCTTTTTAAATAATAAAAATCTTATAAAAAACACATATAGTAATTAACATTTATATTTTTTCCTTTTAGTATTTACCTCCCCCATTTACCGTATCCACATTTATCTGTCCTACATCTCATCTCATTTTAAATTTTTTATTTTATAATATTTAAAATTTTAATTAAACTAATTAATTATCTTAATTTTAATTTATAATTATTTTTTCTAATATATTTTAAATTATCTACTAATTATACTTATTCTAAATTTTTGAGTATACAGTAACCGAGACTCTACAAGGCCGGATGGAGTATAACATTACTATTTTACATATGGAAAGAATATAGTATATTAAAACTCTTTTTTAAAGAAAAAAAAAAACAGTAAATAAACCTATTTTCGGTAAGGACAGAATATTAAGGTAATCATATAGACAGTATAATTCAAGTCATCTCTGAAATTCGGTCTCACATCCTCACATTTCCTTACCATCACAACACAAGACAACACAATACAATACTCATAGATCACTTAAGACAAAATATATGTATATATATATATATATATATTATGCATATCTTGTCTATCTCCAATGTAGTAGCAAAGTATATATATTAGGCATTGTCCTACTACTACTACTACTACTACTACTACTACTACTATTCCTATTATGCAATATATAATTAATTAACCATAGCAATTACATCACCTATCCTCCTCCTCGTACATACATGATACATACACAAACCGGTCGATGATGTCTCGATATCGTATTTAATTATTTGTAAGCTCGCTTAGCATCCGAAGTCGTAGGGCGCCAACCCTTTCAACTCAGGTCCGTTCAGCTTGTTCTTCTCATAACTGCAGCGCAACCACAATCGTAATTACATATATATAATTCCACAATGAAATAAGTATATGTATAAACTTGTCTACCGAATTTACAGAAATATATTACCCAAAAGTAGAAGGAAAAGATAAAGAGGATTATACATTACACGTGTATGGAACTGCTGCTGACTTGACCGGATTAGCATATGCTATACAGATAATCACCATATATTTATATATATCTCAGCATATTTATAGTACAGATATCTTATATGCCCTCCGTCCACTTAATAAATTTACATTTACATTTTGCGTCATTGTACTTAATATTAATAATACTCTTATATTTGTATAATTTTTTTGTATAAACGTCCTTTTATTAGTATTATAAGATACTAATAAAAGTATTTTTGTCATTTGATTTTGATTTGTACTACGTTTTGATATAATAACTAATAATTAAATATCAACACGCAAAAAACAAACGTAAATTTTCAAAGTGAACGGAGGGACTATTATAACTCAACATATGTTGTACTATGTGTATGTGTAAATATATGTTTGGTTATGTGTATAACATATACTTATCCGGTCAAATCAGCACTATGCTGACTTGGCTGAATCAGCACAGGATCTGCAGCCATAAAAAATTTATAAAGTTTGGTAGTGTTGAAGAAATACATACAGAAGTAAAAAGACATTTTCGCAATACCAAGTGTGTTTGCTTGTGTTTTTTCAATTTTGTTTTTAGACAACGCAATCTTCGCAATAGAAATATTTTTTTTTCCTAAATAAAAACCACTTTTAATGTCTATTTTCTAGTTATAACGGTACATCCAAAACATATCCTTAAAAAGGTAAAAAAAAACATATAAACGACAATAAAAGGAAACTGGTTTGTTCGAAGACAAGATTCTACCTTAATTAATTATTACACATAACTTATTAAATGCCCCGGTATTCGAATGTCCAACAAAATTCCAATACAAATAAAAGCATTACAAATCGACAAAAAGTAGTTAGTAGAATACCTTGCCATTGGGAAAGTTGCGAATGGACCATCGACCGGTATTGTCCCACAAAGCTCATTGTTCGACACATCACTGCAGACACGCAAAAAATATAAACAATCGAAATGAAACCTTAAAAACAACAACAAAAAGTTCCAATCATCATCAAGCTTCACTTACAAGACTTTAAGATTTGATAGAGTCGTGAGTTCCCTCGGGATTGAACCTGTCAGCTTGTTATCATTCAACCGTCTGCATCATTAATTAATTTGCCTCAAGAATACGAAAAACCTATACATACATAAATATATATATATAGTTATATACACACACTCACAAAAATCTAAGGGATTTCAAATTGGCAAAAGACTTAGGTATCTCTCCTTCCAATTTGTTTCCATACAAATCCATGCTATTAAGTTTCTCCAACGCGCCCAACTCCTTCGGGATTTTCCCTCCAATGTTGTTTTTGTAAAGTTCCCTGTATCCATTCAACCATGAATTCTCGATGATGCATAATTATGTGTCACAAAAGCAATCGATCAACAGCCATGAGTAACTTTCGCAAAAAACCCGGAGAAAATGTCCGTAACAAGGTCTTTAGCAGTGATTAGTTACAAAAGAAACAAGAAAACAAGTCCTCTTTCTACATATTCACTTTTCCATAACATCTTACAAAACATCACCCTAGTTTATTATGTTCAGTTTACACAAACAATTAACAATAAAATCTTCAAAACAAGCACATATACTATAATGAATCAAAATAATTGTTTAAAAGGAGAATCCAGGGAGTGCTTACAGATACTGGAGGTGCTTCAGCTCGCCGAGCTCCGGGCCTAAGGTTCCGGAAACGTTGGCGTTCCCCAAATCCCTGCAATAATGAATTTGAAGGAGTGTAAACGAACAAACCTACAAGAAAATCAATCTTGCCCTAAGCAATTTTCATTAATGAACAGGGAAGGGGGAGGTTTAGGTTTAGGATTTTGTTAGGTTACAATCGGACGACATGGTTGTCGGAATCGCAGGTGACATGGAACCAGGTACAAGGATTGACAAGAGTTGGATCCCAGCTCTGCAGGACATTCATGGGGTCCGAAAGCCTCGTTCTCAAAGCATGTAATGCATTTCCTGCAAAAAAACAATATAGCAACAACACAACGCCTTTATTTCATCAAAATCGATAGCAAAGAAAACAAAAATGGCGCAATAATCAGAAGCTATCATCTCTGATTAAATTGATTACTTTACCTTCAGAGTTTGTGGCGAGCGACGGGGAGAAGAAGAACAGGAAGAAGAACAAGGACGGCCATAACCCCATCTTTTAGAGAGAGAGAGAATGGACTGGAAAAAGTGCAAGTAGGGAATGGAAATAAGAAGAGAGGAAGGTGGGTGCGTGGGTAGGGGGTGGGGTGGGGTGGGGTGGGGAGTGAGTCAGACTGAAGTCAACCAAAATAGTGATTTCAAATTATTGTATTGAATTGAATTGAATGGAGCAACAAACATATGACCTGTTGAAGAACAGCAGCACAAGGACCACGCAGGACTGTTGAGGGTGCCGATACCATGGACTCTGGGCCTTTGATTAATCTCTGCCGTTTGTTTCTTCAAATGAGCGGTACAGATTTTCTAAGGAGCTGTGGTCCTGGCTGTCGGGGAGTGGGAATTGTTTACTAGTTTCTTTCTTTGTTAATTGTGCGTCCTTTGCACTTCCCTCCCCCTTCTTGCAGTCAATTCGGTTGTTTCGGTGTGTATCTCATTTTGTCTTTTTAAAAAATATTTATTAATATATATTTCAATATAATAATTAAATAAATTGAAATGATATCAACCATAATAGTAATCATAATAGTTTAGAGCTTGCAATTGGTCAGATTTGAGTCGGATTTGTGTCAAATTGAATATTTGATCGGATTAAATTACTCAATTCTAACCCGATTCTTTTATTATGATCCGTTTATTATCGTATCAGGTTCGTGTCAACCCGTATATATAATCGAATTAAAATTTTTGACTCAAACCCAATTATTTTGTGTCGGATCATATCGAGTTGTTGTGTTGATTAATTTTCGCCAACTCTAATAATAGTGTAGGCATAAAAAATGATGTCTACTAAGTACTGTTCTCATTCTTCTATAGACCATGAAATATTTAATTTTTGACACAAAAATTTAAAGTATCAGGTGTGTGTTTGTTTTGCTAGATAATTGGACGACAAAAAAAATTATGTGAAATATAAAAAACTATATAGATAATATAAAAATAATTAATGTGTGTAGTATATTAACTTTTTGAGAAATAGTAAAAAGAACAAAGTTTTAAATAAATAATGTAATAAAAAATATATATATTTATTTTTTATTTGAATAATATAATACAAGATAAAATATAATAGTCCCTCTATCAGGCTGCAATGATGGCATTTGATTTTTGCGTAGGAGGCAGTAATTATTTTTTATTTTAAAAATATTTTAAAAATATATAAAATTAAAATAATAATAAATTGTACACGTTTATAATTACAAAAATGACGCTGAATGCTACGCCATTATATTTTTGTAATATTTTAATGGCATAGACTTCTACAAATTTTCCACTCTTCTTGGGTTTTTTTTTTTTTCTTCTTGCAATTCTTTTCTAGGAAATATAGTGAAAAAAAAAACTACATAATGACTCTTTGTATCCAGCACCACCAATAAATGTATAGAGAACAAAAGGTATCCCATAAAAGATGACTCTGTGAAATGAAGTCGATCGTCAGTAGTTATTGAGTTACACATCATCAAATTATGGGTTCAAGAAGCACAACTTAGACTTTGTGCTTCTTATTTATTTTTCTTTGGCCTAATCCTACAATACTATAACACTACAACTTATGAGGTGTGTACACACTTTATTAAGCCAAAAAAAAAAACATCAAACCAGAATTTGGTCGAATAAACACCTCAAAAACTAAAACAGAGATTCCTATGAACATATTTTGAATAAAAACATGTGTTCATCTGTAAATAGGTGCAATCATATATGAATTGGTTGCACCCTTAACCCCAAAGTCGCCCTAGTTTAAGTATATATTCTTGGCAAACATAAGCAACAAATAATCTCTATTTTCAGTCAATTTTTCACATCAAGATTTTTGTGTGCGCCAGTGGATTATCTAATAGTTAAAGTAACATTAACCAGAAATGAAATGAATTGCATCTTTTAGAAAGTGTCTATTGCATGATCTAATCAAACATCCAGTTTGTTCATTTTGATTCATATACCCTCCATCCCCAGGGGATATTTGGGTTGGAGAAACAGGGGTGCAAGTTGAAGATGATCCCCTGAATCAATTGATGTCGTGTTTTAACTAGTACAGCAAACATAGATTCGATCTCGAATAAGTTAAATGGCTATTTGCTTTCAAAAGACTCGGGTACGATGAAATTTGCATTATTTTATATTTAATTTCTTGAACAAGACAAGAAATAAGTTTCTATGTACTAACAAATTTGGATCAAACTGCCCTTTGTACCTAAAACAAGAAAGTGAAAATACTGACCCTGTAAGGTATTCCAAGATCGACAATTCAGTGGATATTGTCTCTGATCCATTTGGTAGCAACCCATTTCTCCCCTTGAATAACTGGACAGCTTCCATGCAGGGATGTCTGCAAATTTAGATACCAACATTCGAAACATGTGAAATAAAAGACTAGACTGGAACAGGAATTTACTCAATAACAAAATGAATGGGTTGTGGATAAGGTTTCCCAGACAGTACCTTATCGATTGTCCCATTTGGAAACAATGAGTAGAACAGAAGTCCATCTCCTTGGCGCGGTTTCACCTTCAAACCTATGCAGCTTTCGTAATCGTATCCGCTGTTCATGTTTGCGCCACTCTGTGACGATGAAAAGTGCACTTTGTTCAAATTAGCTTTATTGTTGTAGAAAGTAGCTGAAGAGCAATACAGGTGTGGTGATGTACCTCAAATGGGAACATGGTTTCTCCGCCTTCGTCCACATCCGATAAGTATAGCAAGAAGGATGCAATCTGCTTAGAGGAAATGAAATTAGTTTATGGTGAGATTTGGCTGGCGAAAATATGATGTGTGTGTCTATACCCGTTGACTCTTCATAGGGCCATACTCTGCTGGGTTGAATGAGTCATAGTGACTGACATATCTTTGTCCAATCTCATACCTCAGAACATTGAAAGCCTGCAACATGGTGACACGTCTCATTACTCATCATAACTGAGAAATGACCTGTAATACAACGTCCACAATTTCAACTTTCTTTATAAGGCAAACACATCATTTATGCCTGCCTAATTGTTGATATGGTTTAAAAAGGTAAGAAGAATCAATGGTGTGCAGCGTGCTTGCTGAATTTCTATATTGAATAATGTATACATATAATAATGTCTATTCATTATGTTTAATAGTTAGTCTTGGCCTCTATAAATCAGCCAAGTAGAGAATAGGATCTAAAACGCACAAGTGTTTTTGGCCAAATTGGTTCTATCAGTAACAAAGAATGGCTTATTCATTGCAAATGTCAAGTGAATGTTGACATTTCCGCACTTGAAGACAACTTTTCAGTCAACACTGAAGATAATCCATGTAAATTTTTTCATGAAATCATTTTCAAAATCAAAATTAGATATGGATAAAAAGAACTTGCCTCCCCATGGTTTCTTGGTAGCATTGTTGCTCTTGCAATTTTTCTCTCAACAGACTCCAAGACTCCTGAGTTGTCTTCTGATGCACTAAGAAATGTGCCTGAACTATTAAACACAAATTAAACGAGCATAATAAGTAACAGCTACCATAATCCACCGGAACCACAACAAGCACTTCTGAGAGACCAAAAGCAGGACCCCTTTGGGTGGTAAACTAAAGGAATGGATCCAAAGGACAATTTGTTTAAAATTTCTGTTGTGTCTTTCATGCACCTAAACTAGTAGAATAAATTATCATTATCAGTAAGTGGCATAAAAACTGTTGCAACCAAAGCAATAGGGTAAACAATCCAAGAACAATGTGGTATGAACTTCTCCATACAATACTTAAACCACCTTTAGAATAATACACCAAATATGAAAAAGGAAATAGCAACAAATCACGAAATCTGTTTTCTTATAAGGAGCTTTAATAGGCCATAACACCAATCTCGGTCAACAAATTAATGCCGAAGCCAATCTTTACAAGTAAATCAAGATCAAAAACAAGACAGCCCATTTAAAGTGCATAGCTTCCATACTTCTTTCAAATATACATTACTAAAGGCGGTATATTATATCGTACATTACAAGGTAAACACATGAAGCATCAGCATGTGCAGATGAGAAAAGAAAGGATGTATGAGAAGATACCTTGTCCTAACACCCTTGGTAGTCTCAGCACTCTCCCCCTTCCTCAAAGCAAGTCCGGATGGTCTAAGTTTACCCTTAGCCTTTTCAATTACAGTCTGGCACTGTTCAGCTGTGGCAAAATTAGGAAAATAAACAGCTCGTGGATTCCAACTCAAAACCTGCACTGGCACAAATAGCTCTATTCAAGGGCAAGAAAACTAATCTGTTTCAACATACATGTGAATCCAACTTTGCTATCAAAGAAATCTATAGAAACAATTTATAGAAACCTAATATTGTAGATGAGAAATTGAACTTAAAATGAACCTGGAACGGTATAGAGCTGATTGAGGATTCTCCACTTTCACCATGAACCATGGGATCGACGCTTTCATCCTCAGACTCTTCCATCAGTCTATGTCGATAAGCTCCGCCATTTACATCCTGCAAACAAGGTCAACCGCATAAAGAAAAATCTTCCGAAATCCAGAGTCAAAATGTGCGCCCTTTGGTGCATAAACAAACATGGAAAGATATTCATCACCTTAGATATGATAATAGATCCGAATAGCCCAGCGAGAAAGAAGCACAAGCACAAGAAAAACACAACGGGCAGCTTTAGATTTGCCTCGATACCGTGGAGTTTCCTTCCTCTGGATTTCATGGCTCGTGGGGGATTCAATCAGAATGAGTCAATACTCAATACAAACTTGATTCTGAGCGGACAGGGAGACGATTGGCCACGAGATTAAGACAGAGTCCCGATCACATTAACCTAATTTAATCAATTTCGTGGCAGAGCTTTGCAAAACCCATCAATGGCGGGAGCCTAGAATTATAGGTGAAATGCAGCTGAGGGTTGGCACTTTGAATTTCTACAGAATGGATTCACAGCTCAATTACAGCCTAAAGAAGGATGTCTGTTCTGTATATATAAAGGTACAACTTACACTGGAAATAATTGGTACTGTATTAATAAATAAGGTAAATAGACATGCCAAACATTTTTCATACTACTACTTATTATTGCTATTATTTAAAAATAAATAAATATGAATTTGATTTTAATTTCAAACGCTTTATATATATGTATAAATTATTATATTTAAATAATATTTAAATAAAAATTAAAATTGCAGAAATTTGAGAAAAATAACAGAAAATAAATAAACATAAACCGATCATTTGAGTATGTTAATTTTATATTTTTTAATAAATATACTTTTTATATTAAATATAAAAAAATAATATCGATAATATAAAAATAATAATTCGTGTGAATTATTACTTTTATATTTTTTTAGTCTTTGTGTTCATAAATTTTGGATCAAATCTTTATTAGTTTTATATATAATTTAAAAAATATTAAAAATCAAATATTTATTTTTTATAATTAATTATTGAATAAATATTTAAACTAAAATTTTATTATTTAAAATTAAATTTTCAAACCTAAGACATTGATAATAATTTTAAGCTTTTAATACTTTATTTGTCCATCACCCCTTTAGTAAGGACATTTTATTTTATAAATTAGATTACTAGTTTATTAAATAATAAATTATGATAGTATTATTTTATTATTTTTTGTATGAATAGTATAGTTGGTATTTTAAATATTATATTTTAATAAAATATATACAATATTTATTTATAATTAATTTTATAAAAAATAAAAAGTTTAAATACAGATTAAAAAAAATATTGGTTTATTAAAGAAAATGATAAAATCAAAGGAGTTTTAAGTGGGTTTTATAGGCTAAAAATTTTATAAATTTACTAAAAATAAGAAAGAAATCATCTTATTGAGACGGACAAAAAAAATATATCATCCATCACAGAACGAACTAAGTATAATAATTTAAGAAAAAATGTATAATAGTTCTTTTGTAATTTGAAGTTAAAATGGACACTTAGTCCATTTTTAGTAAAAATATACCATTTTTCCATAAAACAATATATTAAGATAAAATTTAAATAAAAATTTCAAATCAATATTTTATTTAAATCAATTTAAAAAATTTTAAACTAAAAAGACTTAATGAAAATAAACTCATTTGCATTCAAATTATGAAATACAAGGTATATTTAATTTGAAATTTTAGATACATAATTTTATTATAATAATAATAATAATCACCAAAATAGTAATAATTCAAAACACCAATACACACATCAAATATTTTGTACAAATATATTGTTTAGTAATGAACTTCCGTCAAGTTTAATAAAAGGATCAAAATATGGTATTTCTTGGGCCAAATATGTTTGCATCTTCTTTTTCCGATTTTATTGAATTTTTAGTAGGATCAATAACACTAATGTACTATCCGTCTCATATCTATATATCAATTTTCTTTTTTAACGGGAGTTTTAAAAATATTAGTATTATATTGGAATAAAATAAAAATAAAGGTAAAAAGACCAAATTAACCCTATTAGTATGGTATGATATAAAAGTAATGACATTTGTGTAATATATTGTAAATTAGAAAGATATTTGTAATATTAGGTAGATAATATAATTACTTAAAAAAATGGATACTTTCTTATGGGACGGACTAAAATGGATATATTGTTAAGGGACGGAAAGAGTATTAATTATAAATAATCATTTTTTAACCTACACTTCTTCATAGGCAAAAAATTATTGGAAATCAAATTAAGTATATGATAGGGTGGCGGTTACAGTAACAGTTAAATATAATCAGCATTATACTAGACGCACATTAATATATATATATGATATATTAGATATAAATATACATATATAAAATAAAATTTCTAGTACGTATTGATATTGTCTGTTAATATATGTTATCTATAGTATTTTTATATACTGATTAGGACAATGCTATAAATCTCCAATCAATACCTTAACTGAAGCTATATGATACATATTCACATTTTCTATCTCTTCAAAGTTTGTAATAATAAATTGTGGCAAATATAACTATATATTCTTATTTTGAAATCATATTTTAAAAATAATGATGAATAGTAAAGTGTAACAATATTAGTTACATATTGCATATATTTATTTTTTGTATTATTAAAAGTCAATAAATAATATTATTTCTCTTTAAGAGAAAATTCTATTTTTAAAAAAATCATTAAATTGTCTCAATACTCGGCTAGTCCGTCGGTATGCTGACCTCCCCCTCAAGAGCCATCTGTATCTTGTGCTTCAAAACATTCGAAATCTTCGTAATTTCAACGACTTCACATGATCCGAAGCTTTGATAGTCAATTGAGGAAAACAAATGCAAATCTTCGATATAATTGATGATAAATCACATTTTTTTATAAAATTCAACAAAGTCTTAATACATATATATATATATTTTTTGTATAATCTAAATCTTATTCAAAAAATAAAAACTAAAAAGTAAAATTAAGAAAGATTGAATTTTATTTTTTTAAAAATTTAATTGAAACATCTTTTTAAAAATAAATAAATAAAATCAAACAATGAGGCCACTTAGCACAGAAAAAATAAAATAAAATTCTGATACCTCCAAATCAAGTTCAGTTAGTTTATTCTTCATTCAAAATATCGCAATTATAGATTTTCACATTAAAAAAATAAATAAAAATCAGAAATTCTGAACTCCCACCGGGTTTTGAGTAATTCTTTTGGTAAGTAAAAAATACTAATGAATGTGTTTGTTTGAGAGACTGGATTTTAAATATAATTCATCCCATTTTTTTCCTTCAAAAATATTAAATCAAACACTTATTTTTTTATTTTTTATATTATACTAAAAAAATAATTTTACATTTAAAACATCACATCAATACCTGTTATATCACGTCATACAACTATTTCAATTCAAATTTTTACTATTCAAATCCCAACTCAAATTTCAAATCCCACGCAAACACACCATGTAATGTAAGAATCGTTAACTCAATTTTTTAAATATATGATGATCAAATGTAATAAATTCGCCCATTACCATAACGGGAGGATAAAACAATGCATAAAGAACAAAAGGTAACGTCATGTTATTATAATAAAAAAAATAATAATAATAAATAATTATGACAACGAGAGTGCCAATACTAAAATAAAATGACATGCTTTTTCTTTTCTCTTTTAAAAAAAATAATATAATTCATATTCTAATAACGTAGGATAATTTTGTTTGTTTATATAACAGTAACATTTAATTGGTTGAGCCAAAAATCTCAATTAATCAAGTGGATTGAATGGAAACAAAAATCACTAAAGTCATTAATTAAATATGTTTAGTTGAAATTAAAAAGGATTAAATTTTAATTATTACATATTATATTAATGAATTTATTTAGATGATGGTAAAAAATTATTCTTTCACGATTTCTTAAAATCTCATCCGGCTAGAAATTATAAGTGTTTTTATTTTGGAATGTCCAATTATAAAGTAAATATTTTATTAAATATCTCATTTTATTTACAAATACTCTCTTATTTTACATCACATCGTTACTTTTATACCAAAAACAAGGTCAAACTAGTCACTATAATTAAAATATTGTTATCTTAAATACCAAACAAAAAGTAAATATATACTGTGTGGATAGAGGGGAGTATTTTTTTAAAAAAATTAATATATTAAATATATTTATTATTTTTATATTATTTATATAATTTCATATATTTCACATAAAAGAAAAAAAAAAAAGTAAAATTATTTATTCGAAAAATTTCATTAAACAAACACACAGATAAGATTAATTTGTAATAATTAGTTTGGATGCAAATTTGATATTGAATGTAAGATCCTGTCTGCTGCTGGCATTCTATACGTATATGGATATATAATATATATATTACATTACTTATAAAAATACCTGAAGATATTTGGGGAAAATAACTATGACCAAATGCGTCGTTTGCCCTAAAGGAGCCTCAGCATTCTCTTCAGGCACTCGCTTTTCCTCTTCTTCCCAGAACCTTCCAACCAACATTTTCTTCAATCCAAGGTGATTTTCTTCGAAATTCAAGCTTAAGCCATTTTTCTATTATGCAATTTTATGAAAATTTGGTGCTCCGATGACCAATTGTTATTGCTGCAGCTGCGGCAGCTGTTGTTGTTGTTGTTGTTAGCTGTAGCCGTATGACGAGCGCATCAGAGCTATTCTACAACCGCAGGTTTCGATTCGGTCGGAATTCGGATGCGATAGGTGTCGGAATTGATTCGGACCCTCCGTCATCTGTTGACCGGAGCAGTCGTCGCCACCGACATTACCACACTTCTGGTTCCAATCAAACTCGCCGAGATCGGGTTTGCGATCCGCTGCGCCGGGCTCCACAGGCCTCTGTTTCCCGTCGCAATTCAAATTCCTCTCAGGTTAGTTTTCTTCTCGTCTGATTCCGACTAGTTTCTCTGTATTATTCCTGCGTATGATAATATTCTATCGTTGTTTGTTTAAGTTAGTTTGATTTCGGATTGATAATCGCATCTAGGATGCAATTCACAGACCATATGTAAATTATTACACATTACAGGAGCTGTGCGTTCTATTATCCTTAGTTTTCGACATTGTCAGGCTTTCTAATGCATGTGCAAACGCCGTTCATTCATGTTCTAAGGTCTGTAGCTTCCAAATTTAGTTGACAAGAACAAATGCCTCTCAGATATATGTCACTTTGATTCCAAAATTGAAGCTGTTAAGATTTATCTATGCATCAGTATAGGCACTACGGGTTGGGGCTTAGGATAGAGCTGTTGAGTAATTGCCATTTCATTTATTACCTTTGAAGTAGATTTTTGTATGGTTTAATTGTTTATTAACAGGTACTAGGTGACCGACTGTCTTGTTTGTCTAAATGTTTTGCTTCCTGTTACATTGATCTGATTGTTTATCGTCTCCATTAAAGCTTCTTCCCTGTTTAATTGCTTTGATGATTTTGGTTTTCTGAAGTTCACATCCCATCTTTAGTTCATTGCCTTATCGTATATATTTTTTGATTCCCTGGGTACTGATTTGGCTACAGCTGTTGCTGTTTTCTTGACGCGTCTTCTGAAGAAATTCAAAGTATATATAGATGAATCATTTGTGTGATTTCATCCAATAAAACTTAATGAACTGGAAGGATTTAGTTATTTGACCACAAAATATTTCCTAACAAAACAGGCCATAGTATGTTTCCCAATTACTACGTACATTGACTGAATTGTTGAAACATTGGTTGGAATGAAGTTTCTTTCGTAGCTGTGGGCTCATTAGTATCTCTGTGAGTTTTTCGGATTCAATTTTCACTTTTCTACCCAGAGCCATTCATATGCTTTATTTGCTAGGACACGCTCAAACTATTTTCGTTCATTTGCATAGTTAATAGTACAGAAGTAGCCATTCACTTTTAGGTGGTCTCATCTTTAATTTTAATCGACATGTACAGGAACGAGAATCCACTCGGCCTGAAGGAGGAATTCATCCATTTTCTTCAGGAAATAGTAGTCATTCAGGAAGAGATACTAATCCACAAGGTAACCTAAGAAACAACAGGAATGATCGTCTTCCAGGAGCTGTACTACTTGCCAGGGAAAGGCTTTTGGAGAGGTTGAGAGGCACCACACTTTCTGCCACCAGGTAAGTTTTCTACCACCTAACCCACCGGATAGTATTTACTTACGGCATCCATGATTAGTAAAAATGTAGAATAACTGCGAGTTTCATTCCCGATTACAATCAACCTGCAAAAATTCACTTAACCAGTTGCTTCTTTGACATGAGAAAGTACCCCCTTTTACCATACCATCTGGTTTTCTCTTACCTTTCTCTACTATAATTTTACACCGGCACTTGTGGTAATAATTTTACAGACAACCTGCAAAAACCCCACTTAATCAGCCTTCTTTAATTGTGTCGCATTGTTCAGTGCAGCTGTTTTATTTTTCAATTTAACTTTATAGACATCATAATTGCAGGCGGAGCGACAGGCATATATCTGTTAATAATGTTCACAATATTGACATAATAATGGAGGATGACTTTAGAGACACCAATTTGATTGGGCGACAATGGAAGAGGAGGCCTCCGGGCCTTTCTCAAGAGGCAATTAGCTCTTTACAGGTCGAACTATTCTGCCCGGCGGAAGAGAAAGATGCAGCGGGATTGGCGAGCGTAAGGGAGATAAGCGAGTGCAGCATATGCCTGGAGAGTTTCTCACCAGGAGATGAACTGGTACGTCTCCCATGTCGACATAGGTACCATTTATGTTGCTTGTATCCATGGCTACAGACTTGTGGAGATTGTCCTTATTGTCGAAGGAGTATTGATGTTAGTACTGGTTAGTAGAATCCACACCCAAGGTATTCACACTTAACTTTTTTTCGCATCTGTTTTGAGTCGGACGATGTTGTGAGAATATTTAGTAGAGAATAGAGGTAGAAATGTGTAAATAGACGACGCCGTCATCATCGTCGTGTCGTCGTTTCTGGTGTGAAGAGATGAAACATCAGAGTTGTTGTGGTGCTATATATATATATATATATATATAGAGATAGATAGATATAGATTTATATGTGTGTGTGTGAGTTGTGTAGAAAGAATAGCCTTTTTTAGTGGCATTCATTTCTGTTGTGTTTGTGTTCTCTGTGTTGTATTGTTAACTTCAACATGCCTTTCAACAATCAGTTCATTATTTATATGTCTTTTAATTTATCTAAGGTAAATATACGCTTTTGATCAGTTTTTATTTCACAAAATTTAAAAGTTATGGTTTGTCTTTATTTTTACAAACTGTATAAATGAAAAGGCTATCAAGTTTTTATTTTATTTTGTTTAAAAAATAATATTTACATAATTAAATGCATATTTACAAACAACATCAGTATTGATGGAGATAATGTTTTGTGTTTATTTTAATATAATACAAAGATAATTTTTACGTAATAAATACTCTTTTTGTCTCATTTATCACGTGTATTTTTTCATTTTGGTCTGTTTTACTTGTACACCTTAATTTTATTCTATATATTTTAAATTTATAATTTTTGTAATTTTAATTAGATTAACTAGTTAGGTAATCTTAATTTATAATTATTTTTACGGATACAGTTTATTAATTATACATCTCTTAAATTATAGTATTTATATTATAAGGGACATGATAGTCGGAATAGAGGGAATAATATATAAATATTTTATAGATATGTTATACCTTTATAATAAAACACAAATGTGAATTATGCAATCAATATTTTTCCGGCTCACAATTCGTAAACCCACACTCAAATATACCAATTGCTTTATCGAGTATCTAAGGACACAAATTCATAGGATTCAATTAGATTATTGTCATTTTTATCAAACATTGTTAAATTACAAAAAAAATAAAAAATAAAAAATAAAAATCAAATCATTTAATATATAATTTTTATTTACCAGTAATAGAGGGGGTATATTCTTTTTATTTTTTATTTTTTTATTTTAACTCACATGACTCCCCCTAAGAGTCTAAGACATACAAATATATTTGATGTACCAATCTAAAAGAAGAATAAAATGGCTAATAATTAGTAAATCATACGAGTTCGTTTGGTAAACACATTAAACAAGTTTTGTATAATTGATTTGACTAAATAGACAAAAAAATCAACAAAGTTTGAATTCGTAACTCATAATAATAATAATAATAATAATAATAATAATAATAATAATAATAATTTCCAGTCGTTATAAAATGTGCTCATTTCTGAGGGTATTATATATGTTCCTACCATACTACTTTAATAAACCTTTCTATCTATTTCGTTTTATTTTATTTTTCTATAAGATTTCTACCAAACGCACCACTAACAGATTATATACAATTGACATTTTCAAAACATTGGACAATATATATATATAAAGTGATTATCAATGTGTGCTTATTTGTTATTGATTTAATTAATATATATATATATATATTAATTATTATGAATAATCATTATTCTTATTTTTTATATTTAAATTAAAATATACTTTCGTGCGTAACAACTTATAAACCTATTCTGAGCCAAGACAATTACTCCCTCCGTCCCAAAAAAAAATATCTATTTTGGTTTTTGCACGTAATTTTAAAAATATTAGTATTATATTGGAATATAGTATGAATAAAGTAGAAATAACTAAAATAATCTTGTTAGTACGTGTGATATAAAGGTAATGACATTTGTGTAATATATTGTAAGTTGTAAAGGTATTTGTAATATTAAGTAGATAGTACCGTTACTAAAAAAGGAAATTGATACTTTGTTATGAGACGGACTAAAATGGAAAAATTGATATTTTGTTATGGGACGGATGAAGTATAAATTTAGTAATCAAACTCAATTTATATTTTACCATATACTTCATCCGTCCACTTACAATGTTTACATATTTTTATTTTGGGACGTCCAATTACAAAGTTAACATTTCATTAAATACCTTACTTTTTTTCACAAATATCCTTATTTTACATCACATCATTATTTTTACACAAAAAGTAAAGACAAAAATGTCTACATTATTTTTAACTACTAACTATAATTAAAATACTATTATTTCTTATAACTATAATTAAAATACTATTATTTCTTAAACACCGACGTCAAAAGTAAATATAAAATTATAAGTGCGCGGAGGGAGTATTATCTTTAATAATTATGGCATGAATAATTAAAGATATTTATCCATTACAAAATTCAAATTTATAATCCAAAACAGTAAATTACGAAAATACCCACGTCGCATTAATTGCTAATGATGATGAAATCTCGAAATTAATTTGCTAAGCAATGATTAATTAATAAATCTTTCGGTGTGCAGAGAATAGAAAAGCGCGTGGGGAAAGTAATTGTGCCGTGTTTGGTTGTTCTTTTTAAAAAATTTCTGTTTTTTTCTTCCGTTTCTTCCACCACTTTATTTAACGCGCTTTGTTTCTTTCCCAAGATTTTCCATTTCCACACACACAGTCTCCTCTCTCTGTATCAATTCCATAAAACCTCGTCAAATTCCAACTTTTCTCCTTATTTGATTCCATCGGAGATTGTGAAGGTCGTCACCTAGGGATTCTACCGGATTCGCGGTGAAGAACTGATTATTGTATACGGCGGCGGCAGCGGCGGCGGCGGTAAGGAAAGATGCTGCGATCATGGTGTAGTCGGTGCTTGGGGCGGCGGAGCGGCGACGGATTGCTATGGCACATGGATTTGAAGCCCCACGCGTCAGGAGACTTTTCAATTGCGGTTGTGCAGGCGAATTCGAATTTGGAGGATCAGAGTCAGGTTTACACGTCGCCGTCCGCCACATACGTCGGCGTGTACGACGGCCATGGCGGACCGGAGGCATCTCGTTTTGTTAATCGCCACCTGTTTCCTTATCTTCACAGTAATTTCCTATCATCTCCTTCAAGCTTTGCTTTCTTCCTCTGTGCGGTTATTTTCTGAACTTCTATTAATTTTCTTCAATTGAGACTTTTTGTTGGTATGTTTGTTCCTAGGTCCTTGAGAATTGAGAGGTTAATTTGATTTTCGTTCCTAATTTTTTGCAAATAATAGATGTGTATTTAAAAAGCTACCAATCAATCTATCTATCTATCTCTATTAAGATATTTTGTAGATTGTTTGCTGATGATCATCCATGTACAAGTGTCTGTTGAACTCCATCCTTCTCACTTCCTTTTGTTGCTCCATTTTTATATGTTTTGTGCTAAGCTATTTTGAGTGTGTGCTCGAGCCAATTCATGGTCATGGATTTAATTCACAGAAGCATAATGAGATGCACATTTCCTGAAATCCTTTTGAAGTTTTGTGTGGTAATTTTCACAGAATTTTCTTCTGAGCATGGAGGATTGTCATCTGATGTGATAAAGAAGGCATTCAATGCCACAGAAGAGGAATTCACTCGTTTAGTGAAGAGATCATTGGCACTGAAGCCTCAAATCGCTTCGGTGGGATCATGTTGCCTTGTAGGTGCAATTTCAAATGGAGAATTGTACGTTGCGAATTTGGGGGATTCGAGGGCTGTTCTTGGTAGGAGAGGCTTTGATGGAGAAAAAAATTTGGTGGCTGAAAGGTTGTCCACAGATCATAATGTTTCATGTGAGAATGTGAGGAGGGAGGTCAAAGCTCTGCATCCCGACGATACTCAAATTGTTGTTTATTGTCGTGGAGTTTGGAGAATCAAAGGAATTATTCAGGTAGTCGATGAAAATCATATTTACTGATCATTTTTAATCTCATTTAAATATTCCTTACATGTCGTCTACTACGGTATAAGAGCTCTCCCTCAGAGAATGCCATTCACTAAAATTGGTTTAACAGCAAAAGATGATCGATCATATTAGCTTTGCTGTGTGATTCTTGACTGAGGGACTGCTTAGAGGTTTACCTTTTTTCATTAGCTTAACTCGTCTGTCGAATGGATATCGTTCTAAAATATATGATTCTTGTGCTTCTTTTGAATAAGCTGATTGCATAATTTATTCCTATTCTATTTTCAAATCGTCCCTTACAACGTGAACATCTTTTAAAGAAGTGGAGTTTAGATCCTAACAGAAATAGAATTGCTCCGATCCCGGGCTATAATATAATAATCAGATGAATCTTGTTTATGCTTTTAGGATTTGTTCTCTTTTTCTTTATGTATGAGTGGTTGCAGCCGAGTGAGATAAAGATTCTGTACATCCTCCATAGCCATATTTCTTATGCGAAGAAAAGCACTAAACAGTATCCCTCTTTCCAGGTGTCTAGATCAATCGGCGACCTTTATTTGAAGAAACCCGAGTTTCACAGAGATCCCATATTCCAACAATTCGGGAACTACGTCCCGATGAAGCGACCACTATTGACTGCCGAACCCTCCATTGTAAGGAGAAAGCTCAGACCTCAAGACTTGTTTCTGATTTTTGCCTCGGATGGTCTCTGGGAACACCTCAGCGACGACACAGCAGTGCAGATAGTATCCAAATACCCGAGAGCTGTAAGCTCCTTACACTGTCCTAAATATAATCTGTAGATACTAGGAAAGGGTTGTTACTAAACAAGGTGAAGTTTTTGTTTTTTTTTTTTTGCAGGGAATAGCGAAGAGATTAGTAGCGGCAGCAATGCAAGAAGCTGCTAAGAAGCGAGAAGTGCGATACAAAGATATTAGGAAGATCGAGAGGGGAATCAGACGACATTTCCACGACGACATCAGTGTCATCGTCATCTACCTTGATCATCAAAAAGTCTCGACCAAACAAGGTACTATTGGCTGCACTGCTGCCCCTCTCGACATATTTTCGTTTCATTCTGACCAAGTCGTCGAGGATTTAGGCGACGGGATTTCCCGACCAAGAGTTGCATATTGACTGATGACTGAGTAGATAATTTACTTGATGATGGTACAAAGTAGAGATTAGAATCTAGAAACTAGAAAGAATTGTGTGGGTGGGCGGGTGTGTGTTATGAATGAATATATATATATATATATTATTATAGGTTGTCTGAAACTTTTGTTTTGATTTTTCCCATAGAAAGAAAGAAACTAACAGTTGGTTTTTGAAGATTAGGGTCTTAACACACACCATCATATGCTGTTCTTTGAATCAGATCAGATCGATTTCTTACACAATTTTATTAAAAATTACTATTCATTTGGTGGTTTTGTTGTAGTTTTTGGTGTCTGATTCTTATTTGCTTTCTGACATGTACTGTAGTATTTTGTAATTTATACCAATATATTAAAGTAAATGTGGACTTTATACTTTGCTAATTACCGAGACAATTCTGTTCTAATAATCAAATTTTGTTTCAAATCATTGACAAGTGAGATGGGTTTTGAAGAGTTTCTTCATGGGGTTTGAAACCATCTAATAATGTACGTGAGATAAAAAGAAACACGAAATAAATTCTTTACATTTAAAATATTATATTAATAAATATTTATATTATATCAAATAATTATTTCTGTTTACAATTTTACCAACCAAAACCCTATAAATAACCATGCCCTTTGTTACTTTCTTTTGATTGTAAAATTTCAAATAATAATATAACTAAGTATTTTGATAAATAATGTTAAGTGGGTATACATGTACTTTTATTTTTTTTAAGTGGTCTCTCATAAGTAAACATAACATGACTTTTACAATAGCATGCTAATATATATATATATATATATTTACCTATTTACAAAATTAAAATCCAGATAAAAATATTTAAAAACTTTAGTAGGTACCTGCCTATTATTCAAAATGGTTTGACAGCTATTCAACCTAATTGATAGTTTTTGTAGTACCACCTTCCTCTAGACTTGACCACCTATTATTCAATATATATATATATATATATATTATCTCCGACATGACTTAATGTATATTTTTATTTTATCATAATAAATGTAAAAGAATAATATTTTATTAATAACTAAAAAAATTATAAGATAATTTTTTATTTTTAAAAATACAAGAGAAAAGAAATGCATATATACTCCCTCTGTCAGGTCACAAAGAGAATAACTTTTTTATTTGTACGTAAATTTTTTAATATTATTGAATATTAGTATTTTATTAGATTATAGTAACAAGACAAAAATATCCATATTATTTGTACGTAAATTTTTTAATATTATTGAATATTAGTATTTTATTAGATTATAGTAACAAGACAAAAATATCCATATAATATAAAAATAATAGCATTACAAATTTTGTATATCATTGTTCAAATCTTTAGAAAGTACCATTTAATTGGTTAGATAGCACCAATTAATTTTTTTTTATTTTTTGAATTCTTGATTAGTGTTCTTCTATGAGCTCTTGAATTGATGTTATATGAGAAACTAACAACACAAGTATCGAACATTACATATATTGTATAGAGCAACAAACATAACATCTTTCATAAAGCATCAAATATATTTCTACATAGCATCATATATATTTATATAGAATACAATGTATACTTTATATGACATGCTTACAGATAAAATAAATAACTCTTATTTTAAAATCCCAATGCTATGTTCACTAAATATTGGTATTCTCTAGATATTCAATATGTGCTTTTGAGGGGAAACAAACACGGCAGCGATCACTAAATATAAAATATTACAATCAATTATTTTAACAAGAAAACACAAGTCACAAATCAAAAACCAAACACAAGAGGTCCGAAAGGAAATGACCTGTGTCGGAATGGACTTGTGATCCTGAAATTATGAGACATCTCTAGGTCCTCCGGAGGAATGTACCGACATTGCAAATTTCTACAATATAAGAAAAAAAATATAGAAACCAAACACAAGAGTGTTTAATTCATTACTAATTTTGATAAAATCATAATTTTAATATTTAACTATTATCTTCAATTCAACAATATTTAATTATTAATTCATTTTTCAAAAATACTTTTAATTATTTTTTTTTTCATTTTTTTAAATAAAATATTTATTTTCCGTAGTTGACAAAAAAAAAAACACCACGTTTACCTGACAGAGGAATAGTTTGATTAAATACTTTTGAAAAGAAGAAAATTTTAAAATAACTAATAAAAATCTCATTGCCTAGTAATTCATTATATTATTATTATCATTTGCAACAGAGCATGAGAACAAGGAAGACGAAGATGAACAAGACTCCAAAAACACAAAATACAAACAGCACAACACACACAAAGATTCAAGAAAACAAATCAAATCAAAGAAAAGAGATAGAGAATTCATAATCATAATAACATACCTGTACCTATGGCACAATCTTGTAAGCCTTCAACTTGTCGATCCAAGAAACAAACGAGTTCTTCGAATTCCTAAACCCCAGAAAGCCATGCTCCTTGCTCTTGTTCATCGTGTCCAACCCCACAACATTCTTCAGCACTGCATCCACATACCACCAGTTCGCCACATCCTCGTACCTCGTCGCCGCCAAACCATTCTCCCTCACTATCTCCTCCCACACCGCCGCCTTCCCCTTCATCATCTCCTCCAGCCTCACCTCCTCCTTCCCCTCCTCATACCCCTCGTACGCCACCCCAAACTGCTCCGCCAACACCTTCCAGAACAGCTTCCATTTGAAGGCGTCCCCGTTCGTCACATTGAACGCCTCATTCTTTGCATAAGGATCCACCGCCGTCCATATCTGATGCTCCGCCACTAAATCCGCGTCCGAGCAATCTGAAAACTCCTCCCATGCTGCCCTGCATCCCGGGAACTTCATCACTGTCCCTTCGTGCTTGCAAATGGCGGCGTAGACGCATAAGGATCCCACCATGTTCATCATGCTGTATGGGGAGAAGCCGAAGATTTGACTCGGCCGGTGGACAGACCATGTTAGGCCTTCCTTCTTTGAGACTTCTTCCAGCAGAATGTCCTCCTGCGTGTAGTAGAAATTGATGTGGTTTAATCGTGGCATGTCCTCTGTGAATGGAGGATCCGGGGTCTCGACTTTGCCTATGGCTTCCCAGGGGCCGAGGTAATGCTTACGACCGGTTTGCAGACAGATGTGCTTCAAATCAGGGCAATTGGGGATCACTGCGTTGAGGACGTTCCTCAGCATTCTGCCATTGATTTCGCAGTTCTCCGCCTCGGTGGATCGGTTGGCCCAGGCGGTGTAGAAGACGTGGGTGATGTCTGTGAGGGGTTCGAGCTTGGCGCTGGCGTCGTCGGCGTCGGAAATGTCGCAGCAGATGTAATTGATCGGGTTGTCCTCGTTCCACGACGGGCGGGGGCGGCGCGCCACGCCGTAGACCTTCCAGGGGCCGCCGGGGGTGTCGGAGAGCGGCAGGATCTCCGCCAGGCTGTTTCCGACGATGCCGGTCACGCCGACGATTAGGGCTACGCTTTGGTGCTTTGGGGGCGCTGCATCCTCGTCGAATTTTTTCTGAATTGAACCATTGGGAATCGAATTAGGAAAAATTCACGAACAAATCGCTTCGAGTTGCACAGACAATTACCAAAAACCATGGAAATTCAGAAATTAGGGCTACGAATTGCTATCTAAAATTTCTTATTCAAATTAAGCAAGATAGATATAAAAAAAAAAAAAAAAAAAAAAAAAAAAACAGCCGAAATCGAATCGAAACGTGGAAATGAACGTCGATTGTGAAAGAGGAGGATACAAACCTTGGCAGCGCCGATTGCTCCAGCCCACCACCAGCTCATTTTGGGGATTCCGATCGGATCCGATCCTATCGATTGCAGATTAGATTAGATTAGTAAGCCAAAGTGAAGAAGAAGTGATGATTGATTGGAGAGAGAAGAGAAAGCATAATAAATAATAAATAATAAACAATAAATAGAGATTAGTCGGTCGCAGGCCATTAACAAAAAAAAGAATAACGATGAAAGTCACTTCTATTTTAATACAACTGTAATCAATTTTAAGTACCAAAGACAAAATTGCTTCTCATTATCTACATATTTTTAATCAATAAGATGTTTTTAAAATTAATATATATATATGGATAAGGTTTTAATATATATATATATATATTTTGTTACACTATACAATTCCGATGCTAAAAAAATATTATTTTATTAATAAATTATTACATTAAATTATTATACAAATTCAAAAAATATATAATTTTCCTCCGAAAAATTTAGTTTCACTTCTTTATAAAAATAGAAAAAATTGAGGCTAAATTTTCGGAACAGAGAGTATAATGCAAATCAAACATTTGTTTGATTTTGATTTCAATTTTGTTAAAGTACCAATATTTTAATATGATATTTTATATGTTAAAAAAATAATTATTTCTCTATTCTATATAATTTGTCAAGCCACATAATTTATTTATTTTTATATAATATAATATACATTCTAATTATATTTTAAAATTTGTATTATTTTTATTTTAATTAAACTATATACTCATTTAATCTTAATTTATAATTATTTTTATAAATATATTTTTAAATTATTTATTAATTAAATAATATCTAAAACTGACTACCCTAATTAAATTGACAAATTAGTTGGACTGAAAAAGTATATTCTTAATAGATATTGTGGAGACTAAAATAACAATTATTTGAATTTGAAATAGAAAAAATAAAAACCTCCAAACATTTTAACCAAATCTATTACCAAATAAACCTTAAAATATGAGTATTAATCATTTAATAAAATATCATTAGAATTCTAATTTAGTTTTTATTATTAATTATTATAACTAATTTAGTGAGACAATTAAAAATAATAATGATTATGTGAGATAGAAAATTATAAATAATTTTTATTAATTTAAAAAAAAATTACAAAAAATCATTATGTCAATAATATACCGCGCATTCATCTCCGATTTTATTTATATATATACTTTTCTAAAATAGTATTAACAAAAATAAAGTATATTCGTCCAACTTTAAGGTCCTATTTATTTTTTTATCATGTTGATATTTAAATATTAATTATTATATCAAAATGTAGTATAAATTTTTTAAAAAAAATTACAAAAATACTTTTTCATCAGTGTCTTTTAATACTAATAAAAGAATATTTATATAAAAAATTATATAAATATAAATATATTTTTAATGTTAAATACAATTATATAAAATGTAAATGTGACCATTACAGGCGGACAAAGAAAGTAAAATATATAAATATATATGTGCATAATCATAAAAGTTAAAAAAACACAAAAAAAGTCAATAAAATATACAAATATTATACTTTTACAATTTAGTGTATTTCATAATAACAATATCTAAAATTATAAATACAATGTAACGAGTTTCTAAATTAATATATTTAACTTGACTCATTATTAACACAAATATCTCATATTTTACTGTTTTAATTTTATTTTTTTTTGACAAAATATTTTATCAAATATTATTTTAAAATCATTTAAATCAAATAGTTTTAAATCAAACCCAAAGAAACATACTTTTAAGTTTTGTATTCTTTTAAACTAAAGTTTATATTAAACTCAAACGTGATGAAGCCCAAAGGAATGAGCCCATATCCATATGCCCATGACCCTACCCAATTATCCAAACCCATATCACAATATCCAACCCATTAGTTAACTTTATTTGTTGTCCGGTCCAAACGGGCAATATTTTGGGTCATGGGTTCGTTTACTTTGTATACATGGGCAGTGCTGAGTTTTATTGGGCCCCAAGAAAAAAAAAAAAAAAAAAAGGTTCACAATTCAACTCTTTATATATATGGTTAATATAAAAAATAAGATTTTTTTAAAAATTGTTTATTTAATTATATTTTAAATTTTTTTATTATGTATTCAATATAAATAAATTGTTTTTAAAAATAAAATATCATATTAAAATTTAAATTTAAATAAAAAAAAATCAAATTTAAATGAACTCAAACAAATTTTAATATATTTTTAATATTATACATATAATTATAAATTTTGATTTATATATGCATTTACATTTTTAAAAAACATAATCCCCTAAAAGAGTTAAAAAAATTTGGAGCCTTGGATATGGGATGTTTTCACTTTATTTTTTATTTTTATTTTTACAATTTAATTTTATAATTATTAGTAAAAATATATTATTTTATCTAACAATATTACATTTTATTATAAAAAATTAATTTCAAAGATAACCAAGGAAAACTTATGGTTGGATGAAAGAGATAAAAACAAACATAATAAAATGTATAATACCCCACAGTTTCGTTTCGTATTTTATTTATGGTGTGAAATATCTGTATTAAATTAAAGTATGGACAAAACACAACTTGATTCACCCCATTAATTTAATTTTTTATTTAAATAGTATTTTAATTTTATAATTTATGAAAATTAGAGTGTATTTTAATTAAAAATCTAATTGGATGAATGAAAAACAAATTGCAATTTAATATATTTAACGAAAATAAATTAACTAAATGAAGCATGAATCCGCCCTTAATTACACAATCTTGAGTTACACAAAATGGATGTAAAAATTTCATTATTTTACAGTGATTTAAAGGAAAATTTTACATGAAACAAGTTGAATATTTTGGATTTATTTGACTGTAGTTTGAAATTAATTTGAAATAACATGTTAGATTAGAATTTTTTGTTTAAATAGTATTTTGGCGTAATATTTGAAAGAAAATATTATATTTTTATTAAAAACCGTATAAAATAAATAATTTTTACTTTAATTTAAAATACTAAAAGAACAAACCTTTTGTAGTACCAAATCAAGAAAACAAAAAATACAAAATAGTAAAATTTATGTATAGTCTCAAACAAAATCTTAAGTTGTGATACTTAAAAATTGATAAAGTTATGATGTCAAATGAATTTTCATACAATAAGTGCAATGACATGAATTTCAGATAGTAATTAATTAAGTAGATATCTATATTTTGGATATATTTTTATTTTTAAATATAATATTTCTACTTAATGTTATTAGTTTTTTATATTAAATTATCATTATTTTAATTTATTTTTTTTTTCAAAATTTAATTCTCCCGATTAGTATTAACAATTAAAATGAAAATCAATGTAATGTTTCTAAGGAAGAAGTAGGATGGTGAACCTTTATTACTATCAGCCAAATTAGACACATTTATCCGACACTAAATGGGACACATGCATTATGAATTTGCATGTGTCAAAAAGTTAGAATAAATAAATAATAAATAAATAAATAAATAAATAATTAGTTATAATTAAAGTAATTAATTTAGTGGATTAATTGATTGCTTGATTTAAAAGGAAAAAAAGAGACATAAGAATGCACCCCTCCTACCAACTCCATAATGAGCTGAATAATAATAATAATAATAATAATAATAATAATAATAATAATAATAATTTGTGGAACAATCGAAATTTCTTGAATTTAAGGAAAACAATTACTCTTTTCGTCTGAGTCAAATATATTTATTTTGCTATTTTCGTTTTTTTAATTCTATTAATTAATGTAAGGGTAAAATAATTCTACTATTCTATTATACTATATATTCGTAAAATATTAATATACCTAAGTTTGTGCAAAAAATCAAATTAATAAGTTTGACTCGGAAGGAGTATTTCATTATTTATAATCTATGTTTTCTAGTGATATTTTATCAAATATAAATAATTTATGTATAAAATAAATTTAGGCTATAACAATTATTTCATTATTTATCACATAGTAAAAAATAAATAAATAAATAAAACACACAAACAAATACTCATTTATTTAACTATGGACTCAAATAAGATACTTTGAATTTGAGATAGTTCTGAAATTGGTAGTATTAATATATTGCAAATACTCATTCCGTCCGCCTCTAAGGATCATATTTACCTTTTTGCATCACTGTACTTAACATTAAAAAATTCTTATATTTGTATAATCTTTTGCACAAATGTTCTTTTATTAGTATTATAAGACATCAATAGAAGTATTTTTGCAATTTTTTCTTAATTTGTAAAACGTTTTGATATAATAATTAATATTTAAATATTAACATGCAAAAAATAAATAGGATCTTCAGAGCCGGACGAAGAAAGTATATAACAATAACAATTGAATTGAATACAAATCAAGAAGATGATAGAAAAGTAATTGATCGATTGGTTCTTTTTCTGCAAGATAAATTTTTTTTTTTATTAGTGTTCTAATGTTGGTGATTCATCCCTAAAGGTAAAACGATTTATCACCTCTATATAAATAATGTTGCAGTCGGTCAAAAAATAAAAAATAAAAAAATTGATGAACTGGACAAGAACAAATGAGTGAGGGAGATTAATGTAGATGGAGGCTTGAGAATGTTTGTTGTTGTTCTAACAAATGCAAATTAAAAGATAAAAGGTAAAATTGCTTATAACTCCCATGTGGTTTCGAAATTCAGCGTAAAATCTCTCTATACTTTAAACATTTTATGGTACCCCTTTATACTTTTAAAAACGTTGCATGAAATTCCACCACCATGAAACTTTCCTCGTGTAATAAGAAGATGATTTCTTATCTATATATTTTGCGTGGCAGAAGGGTTTTATATAATAATTTTGAAAGTATAAGTGAGCGTCATGCAATTTTTTAAAGTAAAATGAGGATTTATGCTGAGTTTCAAAACCACAAAGTGGTTTCATGCAACATTTTTTAAAGTATAAGGGGACATCATGCAATTTTTAAAGTAGATGAAGAATTTACGCTGAGTTTCGAAACCACAAGAAAGTTATGGACAATTTTGCCAAGATAAAATGCTTTGAATTTTATTTATTGCGTGATATTTAAAATATTTGATTGTAAATAAACATTTACTTATGGATGCCGTGATAGAAATATATACATCAATATAATATAAAATCATATAACGACACGGGGGGCGGGGGGCGGGGGTTGTTAGGGATCAACTGATCCCAGCCTCCAAAATTTATGTATTTTTTAGTATAAAAAATAATTTTTATTTTATAGTGTAAAAAATAATTTAAAAAATCATTTATTTATTGATTTATATTTTTAAATTTTATTCTTTTTTAGTAAAAAACGTTAAATTTTATATCATTTTGTTGAATTTTTCTCTAAAAATATTTTAACTTTTTCCTTTTTCTTTTACCCGACTGTGCTTAGAAAAATCGAAAAATATATATATATATATTGGATCTAAAAAAGAAATCGATATTTTGTCTCCTTGAATTTTAGCGCTTATTCTGTCACTGAATTTGCCTCACTCCTTATAAAGTATGTTCTTTAAGCGATTTATAATTTTTAGTTTGTAACAAAAATTGAATGCTATCTATATATATAAGAAATTATATAAATTAATATAAAAGTAAACTATGCAGAAAATATCTTTTGTTAAAGGTTAGAGTATGACTAAAATTATATTATATTAATTATAGCTTTTGTATTTATGGAACAATAATATTGAAAATGAAGTGGATCGAAGGTTTTGAAAAAAATTATCTCAAATTAAATGTTACATTACCGTTGAGGAATTACACGTGGACAGGTCAGACAAATATGCGGGGCCCATTTTTTAATTATAGTCATTATGATTTTAGTTGGGTGAAACGTTGCATTCAATCCATCTAATTTTAAGTTGCAAGAAAATTACTTCCTACGTCTTCAATTATTTATATATATCAAATGTCTTATGTTTTATATTTTTAAAAATACAAGTTTCATTTCTAATTTTAATATATAATATTTTGAAAATTAAATTAAATTTATGATAATATATATAAAAAAAAAAAAAAAGCAAAGCTAACAGGTGACTTGAGGTGTTAGGGGCTCGAATCCATCACCACTAGATTACAAATCTAACTCCTACACCAACAGCTCATTCCTTACGAAATTAGAATAAAACTTTGTATATATTATGGATGGTGAATTTTTTAAATGAATCATATAACTAGATTGACGGAACGACCAAATAGATTTATTACAATCATTATTAATCTACTAAAGATAATTATTATGATTGGTGAATTGCTGTGTAAGCAAGCCATGGTATGTAGACAGGTGTCACCAGCCAATGTGGGGCTTTCGGCTCAATGGACCCACACGCAGGGGATTTTGGTCTCAATTGCAAAATCCCGTACGTTACGCGAACCGGACCGGACGGTTAAATAAACCGTCTTCTTTTTACTTCTCTACAGTTCCTACGGTTTTCTTCCGCCGCCTGTCTATATATAAACGCTGCCCGTTCGCTGCGTCTCACCGCCTCACACTCAGCTCTCTTGCCTGCGCAGGTTAAGGACTGACCTACTGCGCACGATAATATATTATTGCCGCGCATTTTAACCACGATGGCGCCGAAAACGCTACTGTTCGCCACTTTGATCTGCATTGTCGCCGCCGGCGCCGGCGTCGGTGGACAACAAGCTCCGCCTTCTCCGCCGTCGTCGAACCAAGCGCCACAGACGCCTCCAGCGTCGAATCAGGCGCCGCCTACTCCACCGGCTTCGAATCAAGCGCCGCCGACTCCGCCGGCATCGAACCAAGCGCCGCCGACTCCGCCGGCGTCGAACCAAGCGCCGCCTTCTCCGCCGGTTTCGAACCAAGCGCCGCCTGCTCCTCCGACCCCTAATCAAGCTCCGCCGTCCCCTCCGACGCCTAATCAAGCGCCGCCGTCCCCTCCGACGCCGAATCAAGCGCCTCCGTCCCCTCCGACGCCGAATCAAGCGCCGCCGTCCCCTCCGACGCCGACTCAAGCGCCGCCAACTCCTCCGACGCCGACTCAAGCGCCGCCGTCTCCTCCGACGCCGAATCAAGCGCCGCCTACTCCTCCGACGCCAACACCACCGGTTTCGACACCTGCTTCTCCTCCCCCTCCAAGCAATTCCCCGCCGCCGGCTAGTCCTCCACCGCCGCCCTCCGCCCCGACGCCTGCGCCTCTATCTTCACCGCCGGCCGTATCTCCGGCTCCATCATCGCCGCCGGCATCTTCACCGTCAGTGTCGAGTACTACTCCCAGTGGAGCTCCTTCGCCGAGCCTCCCTGGTCTTTCTCCATCTCCATCAGCCACAGATCAGGTACGTACCCTGCCATTACTTAAAAATATATCACCTTATTAAATATTTAATTAATTAAATACTAATAAAAAAAATTTAAAAATAATTTTAATTAATGCCTAATATCCTAAATTAAATATTAATCCCTCCGGACACGTTTTAAACAAAAAAAAATTGGTAAAAATATAAATTTTTATTTTTTAGGATAAAAAATAGAACAATTGGTATTTAAAAAAAAAAAAACAAAAATATATTTAGATAACAATAGAATAATTTTGAATAAATTTAAATAACATAAATAGTAATTAATTAATTGTATTGTGAGCAGAGCGGAACAACAAATTCAGTGAACAATCTGAAGACGATCGCGGGAATTAGCGGAAGCTTCGTAGTAGGGTGGGCATCACTATTGTATTTGATGTTGCTCTCGTAATTCAGACCAGATCGGATCGCTCTTTACTCCTTGATTGATCACTTTTCGGCTCATCGGCTCTATATATATATATTCCATTTATATACTACTATATTATAAATACACCTCATGAAATGTTTGCCATAGCTTCACTATTCTTTTTTTTTTTTTTGAATTTTTGAATTTTTGGTTGTATTTGATTCATATTTTGATTATGAGATCATCATATTTTTTGTATTGAAACTTTGGAGAGGAGTTGCATATTGTTCATTGTTTGTTAGAAACATGCGAGTTTTAAAATAGCCCTATTTAGTATCGTTGATTGACTTACGTATAATACAAATAAATAAATAAATAATGCGTATCTTTTATTTAGTTTATATATTCCAAAACCTTTGGGGGGGGGGGGGGGGGGGGGGAGCAAGAGAGTGGATTGCATGAATATAAAAGAATTTGAGTACTTAGTTTATGGTTTGTGTTATCGATAATGATAATAATAATAATAATAATAATAAATATATAAAATAGAATTTTATTATAAATAATTTAGTAGTATATATTGGTATTGAACATTTAAAAATTATATACAAATTTTGTATCAAATTTTCAATGCAACAATCATTTCATGCCGGAAAATATCAATATACCAAAAGTTTCAGTATATATCAAAAATATCATTAATCCATTAACGACCATAAATTTTAATATAATTTTTAAAAAATATTTACATGTAAAATGTACGACATAATTACAATAATGTGATATGTAGTGTAGCTTAAAATTATATATCTCATGCAATAAAATAAATTATGCCCAGATGATCATATCTATATAACATATGGAGCTTGTGATAGATCTATGATCAAATTATAGTTGAACAAATTGTTCATACATTGTGTTTTTAGATTATATAATTCTTAGTAAATATTGTAAAAAATATAAATATATATATATATCAACTTAATATATTTATATTTTATTCATTTAAAAAAGACAATAATTCAAAACAAAATTCAACTTTGTATTTCTTGTAAATTTCATGCTTTTTGTGGAGCAGATCTATGCTTTTTCTTGAAATTATTGCTGAGACAGCAATGATTGTCACTTACAATTATCAAATACATAAATTTTAGAGTAATTACTTGAACTCGATCTAAACAAATTTTCAAATATTTTAGAAATCATATACACTAGTGTGTTCTTTTGATAACTTCACCGAATTTTTATTATTCATTAAATTTATTTTTTTTAAAAAAAATATCAAATCAAGACAATTTTTTTTTTATTTTTTATATTATACTAAAAATTAATTTTATATTCAAAATATTATATCATTACCTATTTATATCACATTATACCAACTATTCAAATTCAATTTTTTTACTATTCAAATCTCAAACCGAAATCTAAATCCCCAAACAAACATACCCTAAGAAAACTACATGGTGTTGGCCCAAAATAATATTTAACGGACTTGAGGTTGTAAAATGGGCTCATTTTAAACACCATACTATTTTGGGCTTTTTAAGCCATCAAAAATAGTTTTAAGGTTAAACATTATTACTTATTACTAACCTTTCTTAGAGGCTTGTGATTGAACTTACATGGGTTGAAATATGCTACTCCCTCCCTCTTTGCTTTTTTTAAGTAAATTTTTTAATATTAGTATTATATTAGATCGTAGTAAAAAAAATAAAAATATTCCTATTAGTATAGTGTAATATAAAAGTAATGATATTTGTGTAATATATTATAAGTTAAAAAGGTATTTATTATCTTAAATAGGCAGTATAATTACTAAATTATGAAATGATAATCTTGTTTTGGGACGAACAAAAATGAAAATATTAATCTTTCAATGGGACGGAGGGAGTATTAGAATTATTATAAAATTTTCAAAATACTTTTATATTTATTTATTTTGAGTTTTTTTAAAATATATATTATTTTTTATATTACCAATACACATTTTCGTATTCCAAATAAAAATACCTCAAAATAAAGATACAAAACAAACATACTCATTATTGATATTATTGATGAATATCATCAAAATTTTAATTATTTTTTTTTCAAAAAAATCAATATACTATAAACACTCGTTATTTTTATATTATTTGCATGATTCTCTATGTTGCGTCATAAAATTTTTTTCATTAATCAAAATACAAAACAAACAATTATATAAAAACAAAGCCCTTTTTTTTTTTTGTTTACACACGAATTTATTATTATTATTATTATTATTATTATATATAAAATAAAAATAAAAATAAAAAATGATAAACATAAGATATATATATTTATTTAAATTATACCATTGTATCAAAGGTAAAACAAACGAGTAAATTTGGGTGGATCGATATGTAGCACAGGCCAGTATTATCGATTTTTTTAATAGGCCTATTTATTTAATTTTTATTATGTGACAATATTAATAAATAATTTTATGTAAAATTAGATCGAGATAGTACGGAAGTCATTAAGTCACTCGTGGGTTCGTGTCTTCTGCCGACACTTTTTCCACACACGATATATTTATGTACATATATTTTATATTCATTAATTAATATATTAGTGATTAAGACTTAATTAATGTATAAATATTATTGCATGTTCTTTGCTTAGATTTTATGTTTATTTTTATATTTTATTAGTAGCACTAATCTAATTTAATTTAATTTTTTGAAATGCTAAATATTGTCGAACGATTTGACAGCAGCATTTCTCCCGAAATAGTTATTTAAGAGTTTAAAAAGTCAATTAGGATTGGGAGCCCAAATGCATTTATTGCTTTTCTAATTTATTATTTTGTTATTTCCCAAACACACGCTTTTCAATCTATCTAAATTATTATACTCACTTATTATACTCACTCCGTCCCACGTTGGATGTCTCAGTCACGATAGACACGAAAATTTAAGGTAAATATAATTAGTAGATTATTAAAAATATATTAGTAAAAATAATTATCTTATAATATAAATAATTATAGTTTCAAGTTAAGATAACTAATTGATTTAATTAAAATTAAAATTAAAAAATTAAATTAAATTAGAAAATTTAAACTGAGATTAAGATTAAGGTGTATAATCATTTTTCAAAAAAAAAAAAATGAAATGCGGAACGGCCAGAAACGACAATATGGATATGATAAATAGGATTGAGGGAGTATTATACTTCGTTTAAATATATTTTTTTGGAACTATTTTTAAATGAAAAAAATTCAATCGTTTGATAGTATACTAATTTTAACTGAAAATAATGATTTAATTTAATATTTTTTATAAAAATAATTACGGATAAATAATAACAAATTTTTCCAAATTTTGTACATAAACAATTCTTACTCTTCTAACTAAATCATATGTAGGAAATCCGGTCATTTGGAGGTTTCAGAAGAACCATTTTTTTTTATAGTGTTTATTTTTTACAAAATTATTATTTATTTTACACATATAAATAAGTATTGCAGTTTTTATTAATAATTTTAATATATTTTATTTACTAAATTATAATTTTATTTTTACGAATTTAAACTAATTAATTTAATATTAAAAGTAAATAAAATAGAATAAATTTATTAATAATTATTAATATAGTGAAATAATAAATTAATCAATAATTAATAATAAATATATGTATGTGCATAAATTTAATTATTTTAAATTTTAAATAATTCTCAGTAAAAAAATATTCATATTTTTTAATAAAAATATATTAATTTTTTAAATCTACAAATAATAAAAAATATATATTTTGTAATACTTTCACAATTTCAAATAACTAATAATAAAAAATTTCAAAATTTTTAAATATAAAAATAAAATATTAATATATTTAAAAGTCATTTTAAGTATAAAATATTGATATCAAACTGTTATATATCAAATACTTTAATAGTCCATGATCAAGAACTTATTATTAAATTAATTATTAGTTAGAATTAATTAAGGGTATATTTGTTGTTATTAAAACATATACTAATTGTTAATGTACAAATAATTATGCCATAGTAAAATCTAGGATTTATATAAAAAAAAATGAAATATTTTTGAAATGATTAATTTGTAATTAAATAATCTAAAATAGAAAAATTATAGTAGCCGAAGGAGTATTATACTCGTGTTTAGACAGTTTGATGAAACAAGTAAAAAATGACAAGTACTGCATGATGCATAAAAGAATCACAATTTCAGTTTTCTACCTAATCAACATCAAATCTGATCTTCTTGGGAGCAACTTGTGTACACCCCACCTGCACCAACCCAACAAACTCACAATTAATTCTATAGCCTAAACAAATTTGTTCAGATGATAAAAGCTCATAAAAAAAATAAGTATGTATGTAAGCGATGGTGAAATCAGAAACCAGAGGAAAAATTGTCCTTACAAGTTGTGGGCACTCATAATCAATACCCGCATCCTCGATCTGCTTGCGTCGTTTCTTGTCCCTCTTCACTATTCCGGCAACCAACTTCTGCTGCTGCTCCAGCGACCGTTCCTGAACAGAGTGCTCGTTCATCCACATGATTGCAATTTGATTTAATGGACAGAAAGAAGCATCAAAGCATATCTATAGGGATGAAGCTGTACCTTGTCATGGCGCTTCCTTTCAATTCGAACCCAATCGACAGGTTGGTACATGCGGTTCACACCTTTCCATCTAAATGCATAATCAATCATGAAGAAAATTTGAAATAAGTCGTCAAAATAATGTGGACCAATGCATGAAGTCCTCTATTTCGCTTCCATTATCATGCCAACTAAGTGAAATCAGCATGGTATTGATTTGATCCAGTTAGCACGTAAACATAAAGCAATCAGAGCATAAATAAAATAGTACACAATAATACAATATATAAAACGTATTATGATAATACATTATATAACACAATACAATATATAAATTGCACAACACACGTTTCTATATAACATAGCATTATGTTGGTGCCTAATATTAGAGTGTTGCTTGTTTGCCGATGGGTCAAATCAATATGGTACTGACCGTAATTGTCGCTGCCTCTATTTAGTAATACATTTTATTCCGTTTCTCATAGCTCACATAAGATGGTGTACTCTTATGATGTGTTCTTTTATCAAACTTCACAAAATCTTTAATATTCCTCCAAAATTTTTCCCCTAAAAATATCAAATCAAACACTTGAGATGTGTTTGTTTTGTGGGATAATTTGAATGGGTACTTTTATATGAGGTATGGAGAATTGTGTAAAGAATATAAAAATAATTAATGTATGTGATATGTATTTTTGGGAAAAAGTGTGTATTTTTTTGTTAAAAGAATACACCCTTATTTTTTATATTATACTAAAATCAATTTTACATTCAAAATATCACCAGAATACCTACTTATACCATATTATATAACTATTCAAATTTAAATTTTTTATTATTCAAATTCCAAACAAAAATCCAAATCTCCAAACAAACACACTCTAAGTGATCATACAAAGCTCTTCGGTATAATCATTGACAATGAGTGGACAACATAGAATAACTAGAAAGAATAGTTACTCACAATTTTGGATGAACCTTTTCTGGGGGAACAAGACGAACTTGTAACAGATGCTCATACATCAGATAATTATGCATGCATTCCTCTACAACTTCTGCAACCTGTAGTACAATAGTTAGAGAGAATGCGCCTCATGGAAAACATTAGAATCATGTTAATAGATAGAGTTAGCTTTCTTTTGTAGAAGTGTACAACGAACCTCAGGAGACTCAAATTCAATAAATCCATAATGCTTTGATTTCCCAGTCTGTACAAACACATAAAAGAAGAAATCAATAGGGAAACTGAACGATGATAACACACTGACTCGGATGCTTATGAAAATTCAAGTGAAGCTCAGAATTACATTAGTTATTAATTAATCTAAAGGGACTTCGACTAGGGCATCGATATTTCTGATAGTGATTCTCCATAATTCATTCATCAGTAACAATCAATAAACATGACCATTCAGAAGCTCATAAAATTGCAGACTAACTCATTCATAATTACTAGTAAAATAAATAGTAAACAACAACTCAGTCGGCCTCTAAACCTCTATGTTCCAAAAATGGAGCACACACTTTTACTATTATTACTCAGGGTAAACCACACATTAGCCTATTGCAACAAAATTGAAGTGTTTAAAAGATTTTAAAATGCCACCAACACCTAACATGTTTTGAAAAGACAATCTATCTGTCTCATCCTAAATTGGCATTCTTCGAAACATCTCATGCTTGTAAATGCACAGCATCTAATCTATTCTTCGAAGAAGCTCATGTGTAGAGAGTCAGTTCAATGTGTTCATTCACATAATAATCGAAACACAAATAGATGATGGCGTAACAAGAACCAACCTTCCTATTTCTTGCAATCCTGAGTCTCTTAACTTTACCAAACTGCGTAAAAAAAGCTGCAAATGCCAATTTCATTACTAAGAAACAAACCACAAATGAAGTTGAAAGAAATACAAGCAAGCCTACTACCTTCCATCTCATCCTCATAAAATCCATGTGGAATCCTCCCAATATACAGAACGGTAGCTTTACGTTCCCGAATATTAGCCTTCGGAAGACCTCTTGCTGGACCACCCTCCAACGGCTGTTTCCATCCAAAAACCAAATCCGCAAATCAGAATTAGTTCAGAGATACCTCTTACAGGAGTAATAAAAAAAGGAAGAAGAAGAAAACACCCCAAATCGAAAAAGCAAACGCATACGCACTGAGTGGAACCAAATTAAATTGGCGTAGTAGTAAAAAAGATAATGTAACAGACCAGGAAGTCCAGGGCTCCGTCATTAGAAGAAGAAAATTGGGCAGAACCCTTCTTCAAATTCTTCATAGCTTCTTCCTTCTTGGCTTCGACTGATTCGAACCAAACTCGATAAGGCTTGTAGCGACGCTCCCTTTCTGAACAGATGCTTCCTCCCTCCGTTCTTGTTTAGGGTTCGCAAGGAAATTAGGGTGTGTTTGTTTTTATTTGACTTGGTTTCAAAAAACTTTATTTGGATATAATACATGGAAGGTTGTCAGATAATCCCCATATTGTAAGTAATAGGTATATTGTAAGTAATAGGTAATACCAGCAGTAAAATAGTAAATTATTAGTAATAAATTATTATATTTTATTTCAATCATATTGTAAAATATTTTTTTAATATTTTTATTGATTTTGTTAGTATTATTTTTTTATTTTACAAAAAATAGTTGTATATTAAACAAAAATATTAATTTTTATTTAAATTATAAATATATTATTATTTTATATATCAAATCAAAAGATAAAAATATCAAAATTTTATTTTTCGAAAAAACCCTTGAAATAGACCCAAGAAAGTATCATTTTATTATTTTTTATACAAAAAATAAAATTTTTAAATATAAATAAAAGTTATTTATTAATTAAAAGAGATAAAAATAAAATGTTTAAATGGAAATACCATATTAAAATTTTAATTAAATTAATTTATATTTATTAAATATATATAAATTTACTTAAAAAAAATCAATTTAAAAAAAAAAGTCATTTCATAGGCTGGATGAAAAAAGTAATACCTCCGTGTCTAACATCTCATTTATTTTTTATATTTATATTTGAATATTAATTATTATACCAAAATATAATATAAATTTTTTAAAAATTATAAAAATATTTTAATTAGTGTCTTACGTACTAATAAGATGGACATTTATAAAAAAAAATTATATAAATATAAAAATATTTTTAAATATTCCCTCAATTCCGGAATTAAATATCTATTTGTTTTTTGCACGCAGTTTTAGAAATATTAGTATTATATTGAAATATAGTATGAATAAAATAGAAATGATTAAAATAAAGTGCGAGAGAAATGTAATGGCATATGAGTAATATATTATAAGTTGTAAAAATATTTGTAATTTTAGGTAGATAGTACAATTACTAAAAAAAAAATAAATACTTTATTATGGGATGAATTAAAATAAAAAAATTGATACTTTATTACGAAAGTTTGGGATTAGTAAATATAAAACCTTACAATCCTGACGATTGAAATATTATTAAATAGAAAAGAGAACATATAAAATAAATTATTTATTGATTTGGGGATAGAGATGACTGTCTTTAAGAGGAGAGAGGGAAGATTCTATACTACCACCCTACCCTACCTCAAAACTGAGGTAATGTAAAGACTAATGTGTTCTATATATAGTTCTTAAAAATTGTTAAGTTTTTTTTCTAAAAAAAAAATAAATTGTCAGTCTTTATGATATTTTAAAATACTTTATTCGTTGTATTTTAATTGACAATTTTTTATTTTTTTTCTCATAATTTTTTGTATTTTTAGATAAAATTTATTAAATTAAAAATATTTTTATTCAAATATAAATTAATTTAATTTAATTTTTTTATAAAATTTATTTATGTCAATTATAAATAAATAAGCATATTTTTATTTATTTATTTGTATTATAAAAAAATATTTTCAATAAAATAATATTTATATTACATATATTTTTATTGAAATATAATTTTAAAAATATTTAAATACATATTTCAATTTTATGATTGTTTATATTAAATTTATTTTAAAATTATCAATTTTTTAATTATATAATAAAAATAATATCATAGCTCATTATGATTAATTATTTAAATATTATTACATTAAATATTTTGTTATTAATTAAAATTAAAAAAAAAAAAGTTTAAGTGAACCGGTCAGAGGGATTTTATATACATATGTATAATAAAAGCCGAAAAATCCATCCCTCGGGCACATGGCCCAAACCCTAGAAACTAAGGAAAAATAAAAGGTGGTTACTTAGGGTGTGTTTGTTTGAGTAATTTTGCCAAAAATCAATTATTCGTTCAAAATTTTTCCCTAAAAATTATCATATTAAACACTTAATTTTTTATTTTTTATATTATTTTAAAAATCAATTTTTCATTCAAAACATCACGCCTCTATTTATATTATATCATACAACTATCTCAATTCAAAATTTTTACTATTCAAATCTCAATTCAAAATAAAATTATCCAAACAAACACACCCTTAGCTTACTATGTATGAGTATGAAAAGTAGGGAACCGCAACCACATGGGAACAAACACCTCGTGCACTTGTGCAATCATTCTGCTCTTTCTTCCTTTCTTTCTTTTCTTCTTTACATATACATATGTAATAATACTATTATATAGTAACTTCTTGCATTGAACAATGCAACACCACCTCCATCCATCATCACTCATTACTACCATTTGCATTAAAAAGAAGAAACAGTGAATGTGAGAAAGGAAGAAGAAGATGGGTCAAAGATCTATCCATTATTAATAATTTATATATATATATATATATATAGAGAGAGAGAGAGAGAGAGGGAGAGGTTGGGCATCAAGAATTCCACTTCTTTATCCATGAAACACAAACTTGCTACTACACAAACTAAAAATCAAATGCAAACCTACCTACCTACCAACCAACCAACAAACAAAAGCAAAAGCTGATGAAGAGAGAGCTGCAGAACAAAAGAAAAAACAGAGTCATTCACTCTCACTCACTCACTAAAAAATCCAATAAAAATTGGAGGAAGAATTCCCACTTCTTTCCTTCCAGTGTACATAACAACAAACATATATATTATCATTATTATTAATATTAATATGGCTGACACTCAGAAACAGAATAGAAGACTAGACAAGAAGAGACAACATTAGTCTCCCAGATACCTAATCAACTAACTAAAACTGTTCAAATGTTTAATAGTTATAATTAATTCAAGCAGAGTGTGGATGATGGATGAATGTTTCAGTAAGCTGCCTTATGCTTCTGAAATTCATCATCTTCTCCAATCCCTCCATCCCCATTTTAATGGAGGAACTCAACTCAACTCATCAAGTAAAGGAGGAGTCACAAAGCTAACTAGCTAGCTACCAGTAAGCAAGTAAATTAAGAACAGATTTGATGATCCAAGAGCATCCCCTCCAGCTCTACTAAGATCGTATCATATCAGATAAATCAGATGATAGATACCTACCGTGTTAGGTGTTAGTCGATCGTCGATCCATCCATCCGATTCGTCCTCTTTCTCTATTAACATCTTCCCATTTCCCTAAACTCGTCGTTGTTAGTCATATTTCCACCTTCCACATTCCCTGCCCGGGATTCGGGTTCTCCAGAGCTACCACTTTCGCTCGATGGTTGGGCATTGTCGATTTGCCCCTCTCCTCGTCGTGGGGTAGATGGAGCTCGCACGTTTCGCTTATGGAACCCGACTTCAAGTCAGCTGGAGGGATGAAACACTCTGCTGACAGCCCTGGGACGTTGAACGCGACCTCTTCGATGGTCCAGGCTTCTTCCATCCTCGTCTTTGTATGGCTCATCGCCATTTCTCCGAACCGGAAGAGCGTCACCACCGACCTTCCCGAGTGGGCTATCATGATCCCCTCAACAGGCCGGTAATCGTCCAAGAACGAGTTGATTGTGGTCTCCCAATACACGGCGTCCCCTGCGTTCGATTGGATTCGAGTTAGATGCGAATCCTCCATGTACACCAGAAGCCCTGTCTTCTGGCTGAAGTACCCGAACAGGACATGGCGAATGATCTCGGCTGGGCCTTCGCTGCGTGATTTGAGCGTCTGCGGATCCGCCGCGAGCTTCAGGATGAAGCAGTCCTCTCCGTTGATGTTCTTCTCCCCAATGCAGATCGAATCAGCGAACATACTGGCTGTAGTTCTCGGATCCAATCCCTGCAGAATTAGAATGATTGAAGTTCAGAACCAGCACGAAACTTATCGAATCAGAGGTTTGAAAATTCAGATCGCAACCTGAAGAGCTCGGCGCAATGGCCGGACGGGGCCTTTGGCGGCGTGGGCGCCGAGCCAGGGCGTGTGACGCCAGACTAACTTCCCGTTGCAGCCGGCGTGGACTTTGCTACCGCCGACGGCGAGCTCCACGTACCACATGTCCGGTGACATTTGCCACAGCACGAATCCGCCGGATTCCGCGGCTCTCGCGGTGTTACGGTTTCGAACTACTTTGGTCGGCGTCTCGAACTCGGAGGCTACCATCCGCAACTTCCCCATCGCGTACGCGTTCTTCACGGCGTTCTGCACTTTTTGCCCGCCCGACGCCGCCGTGTACTGCTGAAGTATATACTGCGCCGACGACGTCTCCTGCATACATCGCCATTTTCAACATTAGCAACGCACAGAAGAAAACAGTAAAATCCGACCACTGAGAGAATCTAAAACAGCTGTTCTATGAGATACAGATTCAATTAATTGCAACGAATAGCTTGCGACTCGATTCACAAAACCCACATTAATGGAGGATAAATTAATCGCTGAAAGATGCAGGAAAGAAGGGGGAAGCTTAGACGAGACGTACAATGGGGGTGTCCTTTATACTGAGATGCGGCAAAGGGTCAGTGGTGCTAACGTGCACCGGGGCGAGCGGCGCGCCCATCACGCCCAGCAGCAGCCGCAGATCGGACCTCTTGCTGCCGCCGCTGCTCTGACCGCCGTCGTTTACGGCCACCGACGGGTTCCGGCTCAATTGCACCCGGACCCACTGACCCAGCCCCGACCCGACCCGCTTGGACCCGCCGATTTCTTCGCCGTCCGGATCCGGACCCTCCCGTAACGGCGTCAGGGTCTCTCCGACGGGCCTCAGGCTACCCGATCTCGCAATCAACGACTCCGTATTGCTGGCGGTGACCTTCTTCCGCCGGAGCAGACCCGACAACGGCGAGGGGCTCCGACCCGGACTCCTCGCCCGTGACCGCGACGGAGATAAGCCCCGGACCACTTCCTCCTTCAATGCCGAGAAGAAACCGTACTTCCTTTCCATCTTACTAATCGCCGCCGGTAACAATCAAGTCTACTCTATGTACGTATATATCTAAGCAAAACACAGTTACAGAAATGCTCTCGCTCAGCCGTGGATACCGATATGATGCAGAGGAAGATTACAGGGCAACGCCATTTTGATGGGAAGTTGGAGTTTATCCACTGGACTGGGGAAACTGGTGCAGAGGAAAATGGGGGGTGAAAGTGGGGGGCGTATTTAGAGAGAGAATGTAGGGGAGAGCGAGTCCGAAACGAAATGGAAGAAGACAGTAGTAAAGTGATGCTCTCTTTCTCACTCTCTCTCTCACTCTCTCTCACACTGTCTGTCTGTCTCTCTCACATAGTGCTACTACTTTTTTCGGTAGTGATGACCAAGTGTGGTACGTCAGTAAGGCGCGTGAGGACACGCTGTCAGGGACCAAACTGCAAATACTAGCCCTCCTGGGGGGATGAGAATAAGATTGGTTGGATCATAATTTATTTAGGGTTTGACTGATATTTAATCAGTTTGACTCTATTTTCATTGTTTTTTCATTTAATTTTCTTAATTTATTATATATATAAATGATAATTTATGCCAGTTTATTAATCAAGTTATATAAAGAATCGCATAACAAAAAATTATTAATTTAGGATGGGTGTATTTCTTTTTGCTTGAGTTTGAAAAATATTTATTTGAGTTTGATATTAAAATAATATTTGATGAGATATTTTGTAAGAGAAAATATATTTTTTTTTTTTTTCGAAAAATACAGAGTTCAAATAATAAAATTTTTTTAAAAAAATTATCAAAAAAACATACCCCATGAGTTTGTTTAACGAACTGGTTATGATCCTCATTAGTCCTAATATACATAGTATTTATTGTGCTATATACAAATATGTATTATTACTTTAAATACAAGATCCCAAAAATCAAATATATCATCTAAAATGTGACAGATAAAGTATATTATATGTTGTATAATTTTGATGTGTATCAACGGTGACATGCATTATATAGACTATTGTTATAGTATGTCAATTAATCCTAACTATTATTGTCATATTGTTTAATATATTATTTTGAAATATTTTTTTAATGTCAAATATGAAAATTACATCGCTAATATAAAAAATAATATTTTAATTAAATACTTTCTTTTATTCGTTTGATTTTTAAGTCTCATTTACCTTTTGTATAATTGTATTTAACATTAAAAATATATTTAAATTTGTATAATTTTCTACACAAATGTCATTATAATAGTATTATAAGACAATAATAGAAGTATTTTTGTCATTTTCCATTCATTTGTACTATATTTTCATATAATAATTAATATTTAAAGATAAATATGCAAAAAATTAATGAGACCTTTAGAATTGGACGGAGGTAATATTAGATTATTGAAAAAGAATATATTATATATTTAAATGGTATCGGATAAAAAAATCAATTGAGCAAACAAATCCATTAATTAGGGAATAATAATATCTTATTTTTAGTAAGTTTAATAAATAAGATTTAAATATGTAAAAATTTAAATACATCCAAACTTAAGATGACAACTTTAAATACATCCAAATTTCAATATGTAAAAAAATTTAAATACATCCATATTTATATATTTTTATTTATGACAAATTTTTATATACCTCTTAATTTATATCTTTAAACATTACATTAATTTATAATTATACTACAATAATTTATACATTCAATTTTTTCAATTTTTTTTTTTTGTATATTATTAACAAATACTCCATTCATCCCACATAATTTGTCCATATGATTATCCACTTTAATCATATTTTAAGTTTTAAATTTTATAATTTTTTAATCTTAATTAAATTATTTACTTATTTTAATCTTAATTTATAATTATTTTTACTAAATAATAATTATTTTTACTATTATACTTCTTAATTACCTATTAATTATACTTTACCTAAATTCTCGTATCTACAGTAATACACCCAAAATATATAAGACGGAAGGAGTATATTTTTCAAAATATTTCTATTTCATGTAACAGTCAATAAATATAATATTATTTTATTATTTGTAATATGAGAGTAATGAAATAAAATTTATACCATTTATTTAATATATTGAATTAAAACTATGTTCACTTATTCTTTTTTTTATACATAATTTTTTATAATTATTACTCAAAAACTATAATATATATATACCTATAGCAATACAAATTAACAAAACACACAAAATATAGGATTCTAGCACTAAACCAAAAATTAATACTATTCAATTCGTGTAATTTTCAATCAAATATATTTATTTCGTTTCGCAACATATGATCCATGTGTTCCTGTGTAAATTAATAATTTATTATTAATAAATTATTATATTATTTTATTACTTTTTATATAAATGGTGTTATTGATATTTTTAAAATATAAACTAATATATATGATTAAAAAATTAAAGTATATATTTAAAATATTTTTAGTATTATATTTTAATGATATATATAATAATATCATTTTGTACATAATAAAATTTATATAATATAAATAAAAAATATATATTTATTTATAATTAATTTAAACTAATTTTTATAAAAATAAAAAATTTTAAATATTGATAAAAATATTTATTTATTAAAAAAATATAAAAGTAAAAATGTTTTGAGTGAATTTATATTTTTATTAAGTATATTTAATAAGAATAAATTTACTAAAAATTAAAAACAATAATCTATTATAAGATAGATAAAAAAAATAAAAAATAATCCTCCGTGACAGAATGTAAGGACTATTATTATTATTATTATTATTATTATTATTATTTATCAAATATCTAATTAAAATATTATTTAAAAAAAATAAAATAAAAGAAACAAAAATAGAAACTCAGAAATAAACCAAACAAATACATTATTATTTATAATGCTTTCATATTTTTTCAATAACATATAAAACTATAAATAGTAATCCTCTGTCCGGGAGGAAAGCATATATTTGAATTTTTATAGAAAATTAAAAAATAATAATATATAATTATTAGTTAGTAACATATTTTTAGGGTGTGTTTGTTTGAGGGATTTGTTTGGATTTCTACTATTCATCCTATTTTTTCCCCCAAAAATATCAAATCAAACACTTATTTTTCAGTTTTTATATTATACTAAAAATTAATTTTACATTCAAAATATCACATCAACACTTATTTATATCACATCATACAACTATTCAAATTTAAAATTTTTACTATTCAAATCTCAATTCAAAATCCAAACCCTCAAACAAACACACCCTTAATATTTTTTAAAATTTTTATTAAATATAATGATATATTTATAATATATAAAAAATTAAAATTATTTTGATATTAAAGTATATTTATTTAGCCCGTAATAAAAAATATATACTTTTGAATAAGTCCTATAAATCCTAAATCCTAACCCCTAATCAGTCTTTCAAAAAAATAAATAAAAAGATAAATTTATTTATAACATAAATAAACAGTGTTTGTCTGAATAGAATTATGATTGGGTAGGGTTTCATTTTCATTTAGTTTTTATTTTGGCCCACAACAAAAGATATATCTCAACCAATTTGTATGTGCTCCATCAGTTTTAATGATGATATTATTTATTTATTTATTTATTTATTTATTTTAATGATGATATTGATATTATTGAATATATTGGTGATGTGATTGTACCCACAGATTATGAGTCTGATTAATAATGTGGGTCAAATTGAATTATTTTGAAACAGATTTTTGTATCCATTATTTCGAATCATCACGGCTATGGATGCGTTTGTTCGGGGGTTTGAATTTTGAGTTGGAATTTGAATAATAAAAATTTTGAATTTAAATAGTTGTATGATGTGTTATAAATAGGTGTTGATGTGATATTTTGAATTTAAAATTGATTTTTAGTATAATATAAAAAATGAAAAATAGATGTTTGATTTGATATTTTTAATATAAAAAATAGGATGAATAGTAGAAATCTAATCCAATCCTCCAAACAAACACACCCATATATGTTTCTTTGTGCCTTACTAGTTTTAAATTTAAAGTATATTTTAAATAAAAAGTAAATTTAAAAATATATATATATATTTAATAAGTGTTAAAAATTAGAATAAAAATTATTTAATTATAAAACAAGTAGTGTGAAAATTTTGTGTTGGTCGTGATTTAATTTGAAATAACCTCTATTTATTCCGATTATTTTCAATTAAAAAATATATTTTATTTCTCAAAATATCATATTATAATACTATTTAAATAAAAGTTCAAATCAATAGTTAGGATATGTTTATCTGATCCAAAATTGGGTTGGAGGGAGGGTTTTTGAGTCTGTCCTCTTTCTTTTTTTATATATATTTTTAATTATAAATATAAAAAAATTTATAATAATTATAATTTAATAAAATATATAAAATATATACTCCTTCCTTCCTACAGGAATATTGTAATTTAGTTTTTGAGTAATTGTACTTAACATTTAAAATATCTTTATATTTAAATAATTTACTCGACAAATATCATTGTATATGTATTATAAGAGACAAATAAACATATTTTTATTTTTTTTCTTAATTTGTACTACGTATTGATATCATAATTAATATTCAAAGATCAACACACAAAAAGTCAATAACAACTTTTTTGCGGGACGGAGGGAGTATAGCATTTTGTAGAGAATAAATTTTTTTATAATATAAATAAATAAAAATTTTAAAAACGGTATATAAATATAATATAAATTTATAATTAAATTATACAAATTACTATAAATTTATATTATTATATTCATATCTATCAAATCAATACACATCAAAACTCCTCAAACTCCAACCAAACCCAAACCCAAAAGAAACAATCAAAATTCAAAATCATCTCAAAATTCAAATAAAAACTAAACACAAACTCAAATTTCCCAAAATCCTCCTGAAGAAACAAACCCTTAATTTGGTATTAATTTCAAACACAAAAATATTTTTTATGTTACGATCCAACGTAGTCATTAACTTTTCTCTTTTTTTTAGTAAATTAAAAAATAATATTATTTTATTAATAAGATGAAGTGTGTAAGAGATTTTGATTATTTTGTTCATTGTACTTTTTGTATAACTTAATTGTATGTATAATGATATATTTATAGTTTATGTAAAATTTAAGAATGTTTTAGCATTAATGTGTAATTACTTTTGCTATAATAGAAAAATAATACTTTTGAATGAGACAGACGAAAATATTAAAGAAGATATTTTCAATTGCGACTGAGAAAATACAATAT